ACTTTTAGAATAGTACCTCAGGGTTTAGAGTTGAAAGTAGGGTGTGTTAAGAGGTCTCGTTATGTTGAATTTTAACACGTTAGTGTTTTGATTGTAGGAGGAAGTGTTGGAACACTTAGACAGAAACACATTCGTGTTTGGTGTTTTCTTTACAACACATGTCAGAGAGCACGGGGAGAGATAATTAAAATAGTCATGAATGAATAAGAATGTTAAGAGAAGTATATTCTATATGTTATTTGCAATGTCATTGTGTAACATTTCATTAAACTAGTTTTCCTTCCAGATCTCTGGAAGGAACCAGAATTGAATAAAGCTCCTGTTTAGATGCAGTACAGATAAAAAAAAAAAAAGATTGTTGTAGATCCTGGGAGCTGCTATTGTAACAAATTTCTTTCTTTTAAATTTTCTAGTTTCTAACGAAGTTATGATTGTAAAAGGTTGGCCTCGCGTTAGATTCTAGAGCTAAAAGTTTTCAACAAGGTCGTTTTAGACCTCAGTTTCAAACTAATTAACTCTGGCGGGAAGTATGTAAGGATCTTAAGTTTTACTAACGTTTATTTTATTTTAAATCTTTACTATCACTTCTTATTTTCCACTTCCGGCCAGAATTATAAGCGTTAAGGATTTTATTCAAAGTTTGTCTGGCGAACGCCAAGTATTTAAGTGTGGCCTTTTTGCCAAGCAAGAGAGAGGAAGCAGTGAGTTCGAAGCAGGCCGCTTACCTTAGAAGTTACGCAGTTGCTATTTGCCTTCCAGGCCAGAGGTATTAATCCTCTTGATAAATTAAACGTATTGTAGTGTTCACAGTCTCTGTGCTACATACGCTTCCTGTTATTATAAGGCCAATCTTATTCTAAAGTTAAATTAGAGTTTAGTTTTATTTTGATATCTTTTACGTTAGACCCCGAGTGGAGGGTCATTGTATTCCGAAGTACGGAAGTCATTGTATATAAGAGAAAAATAAAGGGTTTTTGTATACCCTTCGTCTGTATCCTGTCTACTTACTACAATTAGTGAACATAGCTTTAGTAAGCTCTCTGTTCCTAGTCAGGTCCTTGTATGTTTCCGAAGAAGGTTAGAAGAAACATTGAACCTGATAAAGTTTATTTAAAACCAAACGCTGAATTTAATAGCACAGCTAGACAGCCTGCAGCTCTCTCAGTACATTAACTCTCACTTCCTCGTTTTAACTTTTAACAGATTAACAATCTCATTCACTGAATTACTATACCAGCATGGCGGAACCTCTGCTTAATGGCCTATTGAAGTCCGTGCATAAAAAATCTCAGCCACTGTCATTCCTATAAATACTAGACTACTCGCATCCTAGTATGCATTCTAGTGAAGGCCGAAGAAAAATGGATATAATGAAAAGGAACTAAATGAAAGTATTTGGTTACTGAGGTAAAACTTTTGCAATCGTCCCGACCCGAATTCGAACAACTCAAGAAAATCCGTCTTTAACAACAATATTTGAAAATTTTTATTTATCCACCTAAAGTATTGAGGAACATTTAAAATTACTATTAAGCTTTAAGTTCCCAATGTTTATTCAAAAAACTAATATTTAGCATTTAGTTGATTATAATGCTCAAAATTTTAGTCACATTTACTATTTTCGTGTTCAATACAGCCATTATTTCTAAGCCAAATAAATTTCAGTAAGCTATTCGATCGCCTCTTTTAAAAAATATATTTTTAGACCTCCGCAGGCTCAGTTACGGAGAGACATTCTGTCACACCATTGAAATATAAATCTATTTTCAAGTTTTATTAGAATTCATTGCTCAGTCTTTCCATATTATTTTAAATTAGAATAATAATATATATCATTGTAGTAAGAATAGTTGGTCACACGTACTTAATGCGAATTTTGACTGTTCATTTATCTATCGTATATTTAGATATATCTTAATAATGTTAGATATTAAGACTTACAGACATATTTCTATATCTTGAACCGTAGCAGTTTAACCTAATTTCCAAATTTGTCATTAACAGTTATTTTTTTAGAATATCAATGTGGATAATTTGAGAAATAACTATATCTTAAAATTAAAATTTTTAACCAATTTTTAATTATTTCCCTAAATCAAAACCGTAATATTGGTTCAAATTAAATCCCTCATGTTTTACATTTCCGTCTATGTTCCAATGAGAAATGCTTTCAAAAACTAGTTCGGTATATTACGAGCGCTGCTGTCCAGTCGAAAGCTTACTTCAATTTGAGTGGCTTAAAACTGCTCAAGGATCAAGGATCAAGGAAGTTCGTGTTACGGAGTTCTTAGGCATAAACGCCTTTACCTCCACATCATCTGAAGAATAAAATGTCATCATCAAAAGAAGGAATTTTCTAATACGGTAAACATTTTGTTAAGCCGAAAAAAGCTTTTAAGATTAATCTCGTCGGTCGTTTTCGCCTCCGCTTGGGGAGGGAGAGGATTTTCAACGGCTGTAGCGGCCATTTCTTAAAACTGCTACGGATGAAGATGGTAGTAGCCAATCATGACTGACTGTCCGAGAGTATGCTAATTGGTCACTCGTTGAGACGCCCATAATTTGAAGAGTTTGAGGAAGTTTGTTTAAATGCTGATACGAAATGTTTATAATTTCGTAGAGTGATATTTGATGATACTGGTGCTTCTACGGCTGGAAGAAGACAAATGGTAGCGACTGCTGAGTGCTGTCGTACGCATGGAAGCAGTACAGTCAAAATCAAAACTGGTGTTTTTTACTTTGGTATTGATCATTTGGAAATTTCTCTGATGTGGGCGAAATTCCAAAAACGTCAAACAGATGTCAAAGACATGGACCTGGTCTACCAAAGGCTAGCACCCTTTTTGAAGATCTGTATTTGCTGCAGTAGGCAAGCAAAATTTATGAGAGTCGTACACAACTGTTACATCCATGGTTGCAGCGTCACTTGGAAAGACAGTACATATCACGACTGTGCGCCGAAGGTTTTACACAAAAGAACCGTACTCTCGAGTATCAAATGTCTTTGTTCCACTAATCTCACAGTCCAGAGTGGTAAGATTACTGTGGTTTGGCCATTCTTCAAGCGTGGCATAAGTCACACAAGTTTCATTCTTCAAGCGTGGCATAAGTCACCCATAAGTCATGCATGCGCACAGCTCACCAGAGCACTTCTAACGTCATGCCCATTAACAGAGGACTGCATATCATCTCCCTGTCTAATCTAAAGTAATGCAATAAAATGCATGGGTAACATATATGTTTTGTATTATGAATAAGGGATATAGGATGTCTAACGCAAAGCAATGTATGTATTGAAATGTCTATCTCATGTACTGGAAAATTATGCAATAAGTACCCAAATACATGTAATGTAAGTAACCTGTAAGACTATTATGTTTGTAATATTTGTATCTAAAAAATTAATCAGAATGTATCTGCATGTATCTATATGCAACTGCAAGTATATGTAACCTAAGGTTAAGCAGTGTAGGTAAAATTAAGTAATATGTGAAGCAGGCGTGCCTGACTATGTATGTATATAAAAATAATGTAACGCAAGGCACATGTAATATTGGCATATGTAACTGTACATGCAAACTGTATTTATATGCAATCTACAAGTAATGTAGGTATATTATTGAAATGTACAGCTAAAAACTGTAAACTGTACACAAAAGTAATCCAACACAATGTAAGATTAATGTTCAGGTAATGCATATGCATTGTATGCCGGAAATGAGAGACAAAGTCAGTATGTAACTCTGTAAATCACGTTATCCATAGAATATGTTAACCAGCAAAACAAGAATGTAATACTAAATATTAACAGCCCTTGTATGGCCATGTAATTGCTCTTTTGAAAGACTCAAGGTTCAACTCTAGATATTGGTGGACGTGGCGCTCCAATTAACCGACGGTAAAGAGGTGGTGCCCACGTCCCCCGTCGCATGTCGCATGTGGTTTTGCCAACGTCTAGATTGGTCTGCCTTAGATTGGAGCAAAGTCCTGCTGACGAACGAGTCCAGGTTTGTCCTGGAATCAGAAGATAAGCGCTTAAGGGTCCGGAGAGAACAATGTATACTCAGTGAGGCCCAAAACGTCATAGAACATCACGCATTTAGTCGTGATAGTATCATGATGTGGGCTAAGTTTCAGCAGGTTTTCGTAACCATTTGAAATTTTTTAAAGAAAGTTTGTGACAGCTGTAAGGTGAGAGTATTGGGATGAAGTCCTACACGTGCAGCAATGGGTCTTGATTTCCTTCTTATGACTGTCTCCATCGAACCAGCTTCGTTAACGAGTACTTGAAGCGTGAGGGCATTTCACGTACGTTGTGGCTATATTCTTCAGACCTTAATTCTATTTTAAATCTTTGAGATGACCTTGGATGTGCTATCTCTGCATATTCACCTCCACTATCCAGTGACAGACAGATGAGAACTACTCCAGTAGTTGGATGGCCATTGCTAACAGCTGCAACGTTTGATACCCTCATTGAAAGAATGGGAAATGGTTATAAAATTTGTGTGAAGGTCTTTATTAATGTAAGTATTGTTTGTTCCTATCTTTAATTATTAATTTGTTAATAACCAAAATGTGGCATCATATAATTGATGAACGTTAAATATTGTTTTCTTCTTTTTACATAATGCTTGTTTGGTTTCGTGACTCAAAATATTCACGCGTCAGTTTGGCGCAATTTTGCGTAATCAAAGCTTTACGTTTCCATTTTTCCTTATATTCTAGTCGCGTGTTGTCGTCTCGTATCTTGGAAGCCAATGTACTTTATTTTCGTTGCAATCAGTCTCGGAATGAGTCAATAAGCGAAGTGCAGAAAACATACATGCTAATAAATCAAGAAATATATTTGAGATTATGTACTTTAGTGACAAAAGGGGAAAATCTTTTAATCAAGATGAACCATTATGCAACAAAAATTGTTAATAAATGGGAAATGAATGAAAGATATTTATGAAAAAATAGATGCTTATATAAATTAAAACAATATATTTACTCACCAAATGAAAGATTTTAGCAGTGGCTGTAACAATTAAATTAAAGTGAGTTATCATGACACCTTTCGGATCTCCCGTAGTGCCACTAGTGTAACATATAGTGGCTATATCTGAAGGAGATGGAGCCTGAAAACAAAAAAATAATCCTTGGTTCAGATTTATGAAGGGTTTTAGATTATGCGTTAAAATTTAGATTATAACAAAAAAAATTCGAAGCGAAGAATTTTACAAACTTTAATTTTATAAATTTAAATTAGTTCCGTCTTTGCAATTAGTATCAAATTAATTTTTTAGTTAAGTTTCAAAACAAGTATGCTCTGTTCCTTAAACGAAAAATAACTTGCTGCGTAATTTCAATAAAAAGTAAACCGTAGTCAGTTAAACGTAAATTTAATTTAGTTTCTTTAAGGCAAATTATTATGAGTCAACATAAAACTCACTTTCAGTGAAAAACATTGTTAATGAAAGCTAAATTTCAACAAACATGATTGCCAATAAAAATTACCTTAAACTAATTTCACTATATTGAACCATTATCAATGTCAATTAAATTTAATTTAGTTTCAATGAAATTAATTACTATCAGTGAAATTTCAGTTTAACTTAAGGGATAACCTTGTTTATTGTTCAAAGAATATTTTGAGGGGGAAAACCTTATATTTGAAAACATTTAAATATAATTCATAAAAATTGCTTAAATGTTAAAAACTGAGATAATATCTTAATATTGTTAGGTAATGGATTGGACAGTTCGTTAAAAACAAATTTCTCCCTAAAATTTAAGTTCTTTATTTCCTTTAATCTTCAGTTCCATTTCATTAATTTAATTCTGAAGTTATAATAATAAAAATATACTGATATACTTAAAAACTAATCGTTTGATGCTTTTATTTCCTTGTAGCACACATTTACTACAAACAAATTCGTCTCTGTAAATATTGTTGCTTGCGTACGGTTCGTTATGAAATGAACGCACAAGTCTGATGAAAAATGAACAAAAATTTATTATTATCACAACAAAAATGCTTAAATTTCCTCAAATTATCATGCAGTATTACAATATCTCACAGTAGTTATCTTCTAACTACTCAAATGTCCAATAGAACGTAATTCTAAAAGAGCGAATTCGCTACAATCAACAAGAGCAGTTTTCTAAACAACAACAAACTAAGCAACTACTACAAACTGAGATGTTTTCCTCCTTTTATAGAGATTTAAAATCACGCGCTAGATTTTCCAGTACTTTCTCGAAATCAAAAAGAGATATTTATTTATTTTAATGCGCGCTCTGTATTTTTTCAATTTTCCGGCTTAGCTTTCTTTAAATATTCGTCACGCGCTGCACTGCGCGAGAAATAAAAACCATTTAATTTTATATTGAACTAACATTAGCTTTTTAAATACCACAAAATCGTAACACTGTCCCTTCCCCAACTGCACTGCACGTCCCGGCATACAATCCCTGGACAGGAAGCTAAACTTTAAACTGTGGCATAAATGCATTAATAAGCATTACATTACAATAATAACAACCAAAAAATACAATTCAAATAAACAAAATAAACATTCAAATTATACTATTTACAATCAAATACACATTTATGGACCATGGTCTTTACTATTTACCATTAGTTATGATACTATGGCTGAGCTACCTTCGTAATGAACGACTTTAGGTTTAGATTTCGAAGACTTACGGAGACGTCATTCAGTCTGTTCCGCACTGTACAGGGACCATCCGAAGGTGACTGTAGTTTAGGACTGAGACCTTTCGTTGAATCCGGTTCCACAACCCAATCCTTCGTTGATCTATGTCAGTTCTTTCTGTGTATCTGGTCTTCACTTCTCCGTCGCCAAGTTTCACTCGTTCGTGCGATCACTTCAAACGGGCCTGGCATCTTGGATGTGTTCCTCAGGCGATGAAGGCGCATCCGTACGTGGCGATCAAACTGGCGGTCACAAGGCAGACGAAGGTCTCGACCAAAGAGCATCTGGGCTGGAGAAGAGCTGGTAGTCTTGCGTTTCTTTTCGACCCTAGTATGATTTCGGCAGCTTCCCAAGCTGGATCTTTCGGACAAGGCGTCGGCATTTCTAGGCGAGGATCCTTTTTGAGGATGGATAGTCATGCATCAGATGCTGAAAGCAGTTTGTTTTTTCAAGTCTAAGGAAAAATTGTAGTTCCTTAAAAAGTCCAAGTATGCATTGATCTGTGATATCCGCCACATGCCGTGTGATGGTAGGCGGCACTTCCAACTTGATGCTTACGTTTAACTTCCCAGTTATATCGATCTTATCACCAGACGCAGTCTGAAGGGTAACACAGGATGGGTCCAAATAATTTTATCTTTAAAACTGTTCAGCTAAATCTTTCCTAATGATGGTAACATTAGCTCCTGTGTCAGTGATCATATTGCAAGGAACTCCATCGATATTCCCATTAATGGAGAGTCCGTTACTGTTGCCACTCACTGTATAAATTTTAAGCGCTTTAAAACAAGGTTTTTCATTATCTGGCAACCTCCGTTCCTCGATATGGTCACTAATTTGTTTACTGCGTCGTTGCTGGGAAATGGTCTTATTTTCCGTACCTCGGGGTGTTTTGTAGTTTCTTCGTATGTGGCCTTCAATTCCGCAGTTCCAGCACTTTCTAACTAGTTTCTTTTCACTTCTGTTTCCGTCTCAAGCCACTGATTGTCTGGTAAAAATCATCTGCTTTATATTCCGTTACCCCGGGGCGTTCTGCAATTGCGTCTTAGGTGACCTTCACTACCACATCTCCAACACCTTAGAGCCACTTTCTTCTCGTCCTACTCCGTATCAAATCTTCGACTTGTCTGGCTAAATCATCTAAACGAGCCATCAGTTGATCCACTGGCTCATGGACTCGCACAGCTCTAACTGGGTAGCGATCTCTACTAGTTGCTTGCTGAGCTGCCTCGAACTTCATGGCGTACAACAGAGCGCTTTTTATGTCCTTTACATCTGCCATTCGTAGAGCTTTCTGTATTTCAGGATTCCGGATGCCGTCGATGAAATATTGCAGCGACAGAATTTCTCTTGTTTCTGTCGGGCACTCCGAAAAGGCGTGATGTGACAGCCTTTCAACATCCGTGGCGAGCTCCTGAAGTGTTTCGGTGGGCTTCTGCTGACGGGATTTTAGTTGAAGCCTGCTGTAGTCTTTCAAACACTTTTCACCAAAGCGCAGCTCCAATGCGCCGGATAGAGCTTCAAAGTCTAGTCTCTGGTTTTCGGGAAGCGTCTGCAGGATATCCGCTGCATCTGTTCTCAGAGAAGCGACGAGATAACAGGCCTTAGCTTGGGAATCCCATCCATTCGCATCCGCAACGATAGAAAACTGGGTCTTATACACTTCCCATGATGTCTTCCCATCATATGTGGATAGCTTCAGAGATGGACGAGCAGGCATCGGTAAGAATTTAAAACCCATCACTCTTGCTTCCCTGCCGTTCGCTACGAATCTTCTTTAAAGTATCCACTTCTTTGGGCAAACTGCAGAAACCTCTCTCATCAATTTGTTGTTCGATTTGGGGTTGGACGGCACAAACTCTTCCTTCAATTCGTTCCTCCACAGCAGAAACTCTCCTTCTGTATGTTCTTTTACAGAAGAAACTCTTTCTTCTATTTCTTCTTTCACCGAAGAAACTCTTTCTTCAATATGATCTTTTACGGAAGAAACTTTTTCTTCAATATGTCCAACTTTATTTTCAACTGCGTCAATTCTGCCTTCCATAGCTTCAAATTTATTTTCTATTATGCAGTAATTCTCTTTTCATTTCTTCTTGACCTTTTAGCTTGAACGGCTTTCATTTCGTCCTTAACGGATTCCTGGCCCAATTTCATTTCCTCTTTAATTTCTTCTTTAAATGAGGCAAAGGCTGATATTAACTGCCTTAATTGCTCTTCCATCGCTCTTGTTATTGGCATTCAAATCCCACTTCTGACACCAAAAATTGTTGCTTGCGTACGGTTCGTTATGAAATGAACGCACAAGTCTGATGAAAAATGAACAAAAATTTATTATTATCACAACAAAAATGCTTAAATTTCCTCAAATTATCATGCAGTATTACAATATCTCACAGTAGTTATCTTCTAGCTACTCAAATGTCCAATAGAACGTAATTCTAAAGAGCGCGAATTCGCTACAATCAACAAGAGCAGTTTTCTAAACAACAACAAACTAAGCAACTACTACAAACTGAGATGTTTTCCTCCTTTTATAAGATTTTAAAATCACGCGCTAGAATTTTCCAGTACTTTCTCGAAATCAAAAAGAGATATTTATTTATTTAATGCATGCGCTCTTGTATTTTCAATTTTCCGGCTTAGCTTTCTTTTAATATTCGTCACGCGCTGCACTGCGCGAGAAATAAAACCATTTAATTTATAACTGAACTAACATTAGCTTTTTAAATACCAAATTCGTAACAATATCTTGGAAGGAAATAAATTTTGAAACCAAATATTTATTTTTAGCAATTCTAAATATATGCTAAGTAAATTACACTACTTATGTTTTAAAAAAAATTTAATTTTCGTATCAAGAAAAAAGTTTCCTGTTTAAGGTTCCCCAATTTCTCTGTTAAAATTGAAGGGATTCAATGATCAAAATAACGCAGTATTTCAAATAAAAAAAAATTATTACTTACTACTGTAGGTGAAGGATTTAATTTTCCTCTTTTCTGTAAAATAAAATTTAAAAAAAACAATTAACATATTTCTACAATACAGCAAACTGGATTTTGATAAAACCTTGAGTTTACAATCTGATCTAAAATAACAACACAGGCAAATAATGAAAATAAATTATAATTCAGAGATTTTGTGTTCTTGTTGGGTAATAAAGAAGCTAACATTTGTATTACAGCTTTTAATAGCATATTTGCTATTTCAACCATAAAATAATCATTTTAATGCCTGACTCTAATTTAATTTAATAATCTTTATTTGTTAATTTAAATGTTCTTAAAATTTTTTATTGCTTACAATATTTTTTAAATAGTAAAATTGGTAAAAAAAAAAAAAAAAAGATTAAAAATGCATACACGGGGCAAAATGACTGCATGCGTAACTTTGCATTGAAATGAACATGTATTCTTATAGGTGTTAATAATTATGTAGAAGCAAGTACATATGTTGTACTGCTTAAACTTGGAAATCTTGGAAGCCATTCGTTAACAAGTCGCAAAAAATTAATCGAACCCTAATGAGGCACCCATGAGTTAGCAAACATTTATGCCCAACACTAAGTTTTTCAACTCACTGAACATACAAATTACTGTAACATCAAAAGCAGAACAAAACTGAAAAATAGGAAATCTCACAGATTATGCACTTAAATTCCATGTCTGACTTCACACCTTGAATAACCATTCCTGGAAATGATTACAAGCATAATGTAATTTAGTTCTGTGTGAAAGACTTCGGCTGGCTGGATAAGTAGCTGCTTAGAAATTCTCGCATTTTCAATACGTCCTACCTTAAACCACGATGCTTTTATTATGTCATTACAACATAAGTTACTATCCAACCTATACTTCAGTTAATTTCAATGTTCTCTGATTCCATACTTTACTCTAGTTTCTATTCTGTGATTATTTACTTCTGGTGATTTTAAAATCTATATATTTTTTTTTCTTTCTCATTTTCAGAAAATAATATAATACCATTGTAAGTATTTCCTTGAGTAAACCTTTTCACGATAGGTAACAACTGAGTGTAGACGCTGTTGCATTAACACTAACTTTTGCATCTATTCTTCTCTCTCTTAGATGACATCCTGAAGAGCTATAATACAGGATAAAGTTTAAAGGTAACAGAATTGTGAGATCAAAATATTCGGCAGCTCTTTAAACATAATCTGAATCCTGTCGTATCGAAATACTGTAATAACAACCTTCTTCAACTAAAAGCGCCTTTGCAAACTAATAGATGAAAATCCAAATATTCTGCATCACGAAAAACCATCGGACTACAAAGAACCAGATTATAAAGGTGCAAATGGAACGCAGCTTGCATGAAAACTAATCAAATCAACGGCAGGAACGTAAACGTGTTCCAACTCGAAGAAAAACATGAAGGGGACCACACAAAGATAAGAAAGTCATGTGTGTGATCTCCTCACAAGTCGCATTGTAATGGCCGGCACCAGAACAAATCGACCTACTAAGAGGTGAGAGACGACAATGCAGGAGCAGTAACGTATTCAATAAAGTTTTTACTTGACACTACAGAAACAATAACCTGTTCAATAATGTCTTCATTTGATCTCGCAAAAGTAACTATTTCATGAAAAATATCAGAAGATTTTGTTAGCGATCTGCACAGTGTCTGTCATCATAGAATCCGTCTGATATCATCTTCAGAAGGCGTAAAATACAACCGAAAAACTAAAACAGCATGACTGTTTCAATCTGTAAAAGTACCAGACAGAGCAAGTACAGTAGGACGCTTTGAAACTTCCAACCAGAGAGACTGCTGGTGCTAGCAATATCTCCACATCATAAAACCAATAACTACTTTTGAAAGAGTCTATCTAAACAGCGAAGACAAAACACACCCCACATGCAAAAAGAAACAATAATAAATAACAATATTCGGTTTCTTTAGCAGAATTAAAGCAAAGCAGAAAGCTTATTATAATATGGATATTTTCCTTTATGCATCGCAATATAAAAGCAAAGAGGTAAAAGAAATAATTAAATTGAGGAAAGAAAAAAAAAGTTTCTTCGAGCTGCACGTAAGGAAAATGGCTAATATAAATAAATCAATATTCTTATGCTACATGTCTGCAGAGATCTCGTTACGAAACGCCAGATAAACAGAAAATTGAAACTAGATTCAAAGGAATGACAGCTCATATAGCAATATAAATAAACAGATATAAAGAGCCCAAGAAATAAAATTGTGATAAAGCAAATTTTAACGTCTGAGAAATAACTTCGATCACCAAAATCACAAAGCAAAGTCTAAAGCAGTTACCAGCCAAGTAGGAGCTCAGTGCAGTCTCACAGCTCTAAACAGGAATAACCAAACTGACTCTCAGATACTAAGTTGAGATATACTGGGTTTCTACTGCACTGTGGCAGTACTTCCCAGTAACAGAAGAGACTTCACGAAGGACCTGGCTTTGTGGAGAACTCAGGTGGATCCTGTGGCAGGAGGTCGTGAGAAGGAAGCTAGAAGAGCGGTGGCCTTCTGATGGCGGTGGAAGTGAAGAAAAGCAGTGGAAAAGATGGGAAAGCTTCTTGAAAGTGCGTGTAGAAACTGTAGCCGCTTGGGTGGCGCCATCTCTCGTCAGCCGTGGAAAGTGAGCCCAAAGTCGAGATTTAGGGTTAGCTGGAGGTTGAAAACTGACTGTCAGTGGCTCATAGCCTATTTATAGGAAGGGAGATAGTAATCATTTTTGGCAGCTTCGAGAAGAATTGTTCATGGAACTTCGAAAATGTTCAAAAATATTGCCAGTTTAGCAAAAACTCACTATCATGGTGAAACCAAGTATCTCTAATACATCTTTAATAGTTTTTTGTCCATATTTCTTCTTCTATTTGAGGTTTCTTTACAATTTTAATGTCTCTCGACTGGCACAGCCTGCGAGGGCTAGCTACTTAAGGAGAAGAATAATTTCAGGGAGGACCTTGTAAGAAAAACTAATTCGTATTCACTTTACACATGGGCAAAAATTTCCTAGGCTGCAAGTAGGTTTGTAGAAGTACGAATCCGGGTAGAAACGCCAGGCGCTCAGCGATTTTTACCACTGTACCGCTGTCGGTTTGATTGATTATTAATATTCAGAAACAAGTACTACATTTAAATTCAAACAGGTATTAAAATTCAAAAGTCCATTTCTAATTTGATTTTTTAAAGTAAATTTCTAACCCTTTTTTTACGAATGACTGGATATTTGCGCCTTAAGAATTTGCCTGGAATGGCCGAACCTATTGATTATTTATCCGTCTCATCAACCAGAGTGTTTTTTTTTTTTTTTTTTTTTTTTTTTTTTTTTTTTTTTTGATATAATAAGAAATAGTGGTCTACAATTTAGAGGGCATCCTGAATAATTTTTTATATTAATGATAATGTATCACGGATTTAAAGGTTAAACAAAAAGTATGAGACTAGTTCCATACTTCAGTAAAGAAATGAATATCGTAGGCCTTGTGACCAGACAACAAAGTGGCTCTTTAATGCAAAACATCATTTATAAAATTATCAAATTTTAAATAAGATTGAAAAGTGTATGTAATCAATGAAACATAAGGTTTTTAAAAGCGAGAAATATAAAATATTAACTATTCTTTCGTCGGGATTCGAAATTTTAGTTTTCCGATTGTTAGCCGAGCGTGCTAGTAATAAAGTTGGTGAGAACAGGCGATGAGAAGCTAAAATCCCTTACAGCTTTTCATTGAGATTTCTGATTTTTTTGACGAAACTAATACTCTAAGAAAGTCAAAAGTAATATCTGACAAATGAATTTTAACTGAAACAAATTTCGAAAGTTTCCAAACAGGCGGAAACGTTTCTCTTAGTTAACTGAACAAAGTAGGAAAGGCTTTCAACTGTACACAGCAATTTTTGCGCTCTATTATTGCAGAGTTAAACATAGTCATCACTCATTTTGACCTTCTTAAAAATAGATTTAGTCTCTCCTTTTTTTTCAACCCTACCTATTAAATCACAATTAAAAGAATGTAACAATTTTGGGCGGAGAATCATTCTTATATTTTGGATTAATGAAACTTTGTCTCAGATTTATTCCAACTTTAAAAATCAGTCTGAGATCTTTCAATTTATAATGTATACAAGTCTTTTAAGGAAGGTTAGGTAAGAGGTAAAAATGAACCACATGACTCGTCGACAAGAATCTCAGTCGATGAAGATGAGCTGACCAGTGGTGTAAATAAGGGTACGCAAGGAATGCCGTGGCATAGGGGCCCGAAGGCTTAAGGGGCCCTTGAAGGCTGAACGACATTTATATGTCGCAGATAGGGGGTCCTTGTAAGCAGATATAACGGCTGAATTCCGTGTTAAAAAATGGCTATATGCTTTAAATTTTATTCCCCTTTCAAGTCATTAGCTATAACCGAGGCCAGACTGTTGTTCGGATTTATTGTGATTAATTTAAGTAAACACGTTTAAAATCATGACATGTTTAATTAGAATTATTCAATATTTTTATGAAATTATATTAGCGGACTCATTAAAATCATTATGCACTTTTTCTTTTTTATGATAACTATATTATGTGGCTTGCCGTACGAGCGGCTAGTTTAAAAAAAAATAATATAGCGAATATAAATATGCTGTTTTTAAATATATTGTGATTTTGCTGTTGAACTGAGTTTTATACGGCGTAAGTTAGATGAACGTAATACAAATAAACTTAACACATAAAAACTTAGTTATGAAAAAACATTGTTAGCTATCTTACTAAGAAAACTGAATACTGAACGGAAAAAAAACTAAAAAGAATTTTAAAATGTATGTTAACACATTATACTGCATCTAGAGTTCTAAACATATGCAGCTTTTAAAAATTTTGTGATTTTGATGTTGAACTGTATGTGGCGTAACTGCAAAGAAAACGATGCTTAGTAATAAAACTAAAAAGAAAAAAAGCTGGAAATAAAAATGCTTTATTCCCTAAAGTGTGCCATTGCTCGCTTTGAAATCGTTCAGTTTCTTAATCAAAAACTCATAAATGCTTTTACAAAATATGAAATAGATAATAAAACAGTTTCGAAATTCCAAATTTGAGCTTCCAGATGCCCCTATTCGGTGGAGGATTACGGTATTCAAAATTCGATGGCTCTAGGTAATGTCGTTTTATCACACTGCTAGAAACATACATACATTTATGCAGGTATTTCATTTTAATTTCTAAAAATATAATACAGGGCTCTAATATTTGGTGGCAATAATTAGAAAAGTGAATCGGGCATTTATAGTGAACCAACGCAAAATGCCGAAACGAAAATAATAGTCCTTCAGGGCAAATTGCCTCCTTTGGACTTAACAGGAATGAGTACAACAGCAGACTGTAGACTGCGTGCTCAGCGAGAGTAAAAAAAAACTAAACAAACCCTTTTGGTTAACCGTTAAAATCTAAAACTTTTCAGTTTTTTTTCTTTTTCCCCCTTTTTTTTCTTTTCTTTACTTTTTTTCCTTTTTTTTTTTTTTTTTGTTTTTGTTTTTGTTTTGAATACTGTAAACGTTTTAGGGATCCCCAAGAAAATGTTTTGTATAGGGGCCCAAGAGTTCTAGTTACGCCACTGGAGCTGACTGCTATTGATGCATCATTTTCAGCCAATAATAGAAGAATCGCCGTCAGAGGAATTGATAAGGAATTTAAAATAAATGTTGACAGAGTTGAAACATTAGTCAAAGTTTGTTTTAAGTGTAACAAGGTGAATGTCAGATAGGTTCTCCATCTTTTGACATTTGATTGTTGTCACGTAACACATTTGGGATGTCCTACCTTCACACCCTAAATCCCGAAATAGTCCACGTTCAATATTCTTATACTGTCATCTTTCCGTCCCAGTTAACAAGTTTACAGAAGCAAAAAAAATTCAAATCTAGCGAACAGGTTGTGCAAGACGTTCACGCTCTGCAAGAATTATGCAGTGAAAAGACTTCCGTAATTAAGAAACATTCTGGGAGCTAGAACAAGTGCACTGTTGCAGAGGCGATTGAATAGAGTAACGGTGTGAAAGTCGTATCATTGTAATCCGTGAATAAAATCTAAATCTAGCTGATGAAATCCTCTTTATATTTCAAAGTTCCTCGTAGAACACAGGAATGCTATAGAATGCTGTACACTTTCCTTTAACTGATTAGAGAAAAACGAAAGAAGTGAAAATAAAGCAGTTAGTTAGGCTAAATACGAGGGAGTCTTCTGTTATATGCATAATATTAATTCTTACTTCAATTGCTGCTAAGAATATTAATTCTTTTCATTATTATTAATTTCTATTATTATTATTAAAAATATTAATTCTTACTTCAATTTCATTGAACAAGTGCAGGTTGACTTCCATTTTCCTCGCGAGTTCTTTTACTTCATCGGAAACTTCATTCGTAACCACAAGCTGCTTTAAACATGGATAGTTATCCCTCTTTTCCAGTAAGGAACGGGCTTTTGCTTCCGTATCGCAGATCACAATCGAGATCTCCGCTAAATAAAGCCACGTAATAGGTATTTCAGCTTTCATTTCATAAGACTAATGTACAGTAGAGTATAATACAATTAATTAATAACAAGTTCTTAAAATTCAGCGTGAATGATTAAAAGGAATGCGTAGATGGCACTTTATTCTTAATAAAGATTCATACAGTTGACTTCAATTACGTTTATAACTCGCAACTCTCAAAACTAGTTTATTTTGTATAACATTTACTATATCAGCATGCGGTAAACGGGATTTTCCGTTTTATTTAAAAAGGTAAAACAAGAAAATACTTACACTGTAATAATAAACAATATGGATTGAAGTAAGGTGATTTAATTCGTGGGCTTCAGAGATTAATTGAAATTTTTCTCTTCAGCTGAGAGAGTGGGGAATACATATTCCTACTGGTTTCACAGCTAGTTTCTTTTAACGCCTAACTCCTTAGCATGTTTCTTTTGTTACAAATTAGTGTTTGTTTGATGTACTATAAGTAGTGATTTGTCTGCTGTAATCTGTTCTGTACAGGTTATCCTCAGTAAAGGATTCCACATCGCTAATAGTGCAAGTCAGTATTTCAAGCTTGTAGCTCATGTACTCGACTCCTGGAGCACGGCGAAATGATATGTTTTGCACGAGTGAGTGTTTTTTTTTTTTTTTTTTTTTTTTTTTTTTTTGTAGGTCTAATACGTGAGAATTCTAATCTAGCATTTTCTAGAGGTAAATGTGTAGAACAGGCTAGGAAGCTCGAATATAAGCTGATACTTTCAGCCTCAACGAGGGACTAAATATAATCTGCATCTTAACAATAGCTTTGGAAGAAGTGACCCATTGATTTGGGAACCGCTCTGATTGTACTTTATATGTTGCCAGAAATTCTGTACCATTTACCAAGGTGTAAATTAGCTTACTTGACACGAAGAAGTGCTCGAGGGCTGTATGCTTTAGCAAGGATGGCTTCATAAATTCTCAGACAATTAAGAGTAAGCAAGTCAAATAAGAAAGAAAATAAATACTGTATATTAATATAAAATATTAAAAATTAAAATAAAGTAATTTATTATAGATATTTAATAAATAGATTTAAAGAATATATGAAATAAGAGTCTAAAGTTTTAGCTTCAAGTGAAATGTAAACAATAACTCCATGCAAACGCTTGTCATACCTTGCTTTATGATGAAGGCGCAAGCATTTGGTCCGAGTGTATCATAAAGTGGAACTGTTACCACCGATTGATTGTAGCAACCATATTCAGTCACGACCCACTGTAACAATATACATTATAAATGAGAATTTAAAATTTAAAATGTTAACAATTAACTTTCTTACTAAAACCTGAATTTTCTAGACACGTTTCACATTTTCTCTTAGGAAATTCGTATTTAAAAACATTGCATAACATATTTAATTACTAGAGAGCGCAGTGTTATGTGAAGCAATGTTATATATATTAAGAAAAAACATAAATAAAAAAACATAAAAAAACATAACATAGAATATAACACAGAAACGAAACATAGAAAATGAATGAAAATTAAAAGTAAATTAATACCGAAGATTCACAATACAAAACTCTAGCAAGCGTTGGCTCAGTTCTAACAAAATGCCTGAGTGATTCGGCTAGCAAAACGGCTAATGTCGGATAACGTAAATCTTATAGCTGGGCGAGAAAATATCACAGCGTCGCTGTTAAAGTTTTCTCTCTAACATTCAAGAACTTTGTTCTCATATACAAGCACCTCATTTGCATCCTAGTAAGAGCTATCGAACAGCATAAGTGGTAATACGGTATTAATAAGTGGCAATACGGTAAAAGATAATTAGTTAATTAACATAAATATCCTACAGTATTAATTAATGTTTATAACTTCCTAATTAGATATTTTTAATTTTACTTTTTCTTGCTTCTTGCAGTACGTATACTCAAAATATTTAACCTTTATGAAGGTGATGCAAAAGGACTGAGGAATAAATGTACTATATAGGACGTAGTAATTAGAACGTATAATTTTGTGATTTACTTGCTCTGAAGTTAATTCATACAGCGTTTATTTTCTCTTGTACTCTCGCTGCTAATTATGTTAGAAAGAAGTTTCCGATAGAAAGCAACTAGCTACAAGCTTCGAAATTAATTTATTTTTAGTAGGCAAATGTAGAATTATTCTATATTAAGTTGATAGATAAATTTAAATACGTCAAATGGTACAGTTGTTCTACAGCAGCATCTTCTATTGCGTTATCGTTAAATTTATTAATTCTGCAACCCCCAATTAATGATGACAAAAGTTTTATTACATTATTAAACTCTACTTAAATTGGTTACTGAGGGTTAACTTGCATACTTAATATATACGTAACCATATTATACAGGCTTTCATATAAAATTAGTGAAAAAATTAGTTTTAGCTGAGAAGTTATATTCAAGGGCTGCCCTTTATCAAGCTTCAGTAAAGTGACTATGTTTGATATCCTTAATAAATTCCTAGATCTCCATGTTTTGAAATTTTCAATCTGTTTTCTGATATTATGAGTAAGTTATTAATATAAATAAATTTCAAAGAAGAATATTTAGTCATGAATAAGAGTATTTCCATTAAATACAAGTTAGGAAAAGTTAAATGGGGGAAGTACTATCTATTGAAACTGAATTTTTACAGAATTGCTTAATTGAAGTGAACTGTAAAAGGTGTTGAAATTAATTTATTCAGATTTAGTGAAAACTTACCTCTTTGAATAAAATTTCAGTTCCATTCACTGATATTCTGTGATGAAATTTCGGATTTATTTATTTTTCAATCAATTCTCTTTGAAAAGCGAATTTAAATTGAGTGGATTTGATTTGAAATACAAAGTCAATTTTAAGAACAATTTGGTCAAAGATATCATTAAGTTTTAGTCATTATCAATAAGTTTTGAAGAAGATTAAGTCATTATCAATAAGATTAAGTCATTAACATTAAGATTTTGATTTTCTGATATGAATCGCGCATGATCTTAAATCTTCATTTGGTACATTGAATTTGAATAGCAGAAAATCCCAGAGTTGTGGCTGAGTAGCAAAATTATCTTTCAATCCTTACCGATTTGAAAAAAAAATCAGCTTTCAAATTTAGTTTAAAATTCGGTAGCAAATAAGAATAATGTGCCATCTAGTTACAATAAACAAAAATGTTTAACAGAAAGATGATAAAGTAATTGGTTATTAATTACCCTGAGAGGGATTTTTAATTTTGCTAGAAACAAAGGATTTTAATTTTCTGTCTTATCATGACGTAATTTCGGTTCTAAAATGGGAGTATCGTACTACATCGTACTATATAAAAAATATGAAGAATAAAGAGGATTATGTTAGGATGTTTAAGATTTAGATTTTGTGTTGCCGTTTTGCCGAACGCATTATCTATCGAAAAAGATTTTAATTAATTCGAAAGGTATCAAAAGAACCCAGGTAATATAAAAAAAGTATTAGTTAGGCTGCGTTCTGAGTATAAATTTATTACGTTGTTACGTTAAACAGTTATCCGGAATTATGAATATTTGTTGGCAAGTTATGGTTATTTCTATAGCGTTTAAGGAGTTTTTTAAATAAATTATATTGTTTAGGGTGCTATGATCATTCACTGAAGGCAAGCAAAACGCAGAGAACACATTTGTTGGCAATAACAAATTGCGAACTTATTATAACTAAGAGCGAATCAACTCACTGGCGTCTCTGTAATACGGATCAATCCTCAGCTGTCGATATCGAATTTACGAAGAACTTTCTAGCAAATGACATTACAACCGACTTTAGGTATAAAATTTATTAAACTTACAACCGACGTTAGGTATAAAAAATTATTAAACTAGAATTAACTAAAATTTATTAAACTGGAATTCATTAAACTAAATTCCTTCTTTCTTTGACTAGAAATTGTTATGGAATGAATCAAATTTTTGAGATTACGTGATGTTGAACTTCTATGAAGTGTGTGCTTTATGCGTTTTTATTTTAAAATAGAATCTTACAGATATTTACGTTTTTACATACTTTGTATTTATGCAAACTAATTAACGATGGCTTTCTGTTTTCTACCAGCATATCCTAAGCAAGCTAATAAGTAATGTTGATAATGACAGGAAAGCTGTAAGGCAACAAAGTAAGAGATGAAATGTTTCACTGGCAACTAAGCATACTACAAAGATAACAAGCTCGTATGCTAACAAATGAATACAGCGGGGAAAAAAAAAATTCTTACTGCATCCGTATAACCCTGCGAGGTTTTATACGTAGTATTTGGGTCGAAATAGCTCGATTCTGGGAGAAATATAGTTTGAGCGAGTAGAATTTCTTTTAATGTGTTTTCTTTAAAATGTTCTTGAGCTCGGAGGGCTTTAAGCTGTTCTTTTCTGTTTTAAATTATTTATTTTCATTAGGATATGCCCAAAATAGCGCAGGAATGTTTTCTTTGGAATCAAAAATTCTTTTGCTTAATATTCAGAAAAATTTTCCAAATTTTATCTTCCTTGACAGAATCTTTTGACAGAATGCGCTTTTGCAGTGCTTAGAGCCTTACTCATAATAATATTTATCCGCAGTTTACAGTTACAGATTGCGGACTAGAATTTAAACTCCAGGTTTCTGGAAACAATTTTTAATTATAGTGGATCTCACGAATTTTAAACGAATGAAGAATATCAGTAGCCATTTTCCCGGGAGAGTACTGACTCCTTGTTTCATTTAAGTATAAAATGTTAATCTTTATTAGACTTTTCTGATAAGAGGCTTCAAGGTACTGTTGATATTCGTTGTCAAGGGGCTGTAATTCGAAAGTAGTTTAATACTCAAAACGCCGTTTGGAATTAAGGCTAGAACCATTTTGGGCAGGAAATAATTTTATCTTCTATTACTTTATTTTTATTTATTTATTTATATATTTATTGTAGAATTACTCTTTCAGTAGTTAATTTTTTTATTGCACAAGTAATCTACTAAAACAAAATACAATTTGTTTCGGCATCGTATTTACTACAGCCAGATGTTTCAAACATTATTTGTTTTCACAAGATTATAAGGTATTTCGCCCGTTTCCTACAGTTTCTTGCTGATGTAGTTGTTCTGCACACTGGTACGGTATTCCAAAGGTCCGCGGTTCGATTCCCGGTGAAGGCGTTGCTAATTTTTCATCTGTCCTCAAGATGGAAAGAAGGATAACTTTTACTTTCATATTTTCATTAACCAATAAATTTATAAAAAACAAAACAAGAAATTTAAACAAAAAGGAAATAATTTTCACTATAAGAGTATCAGATTAACAAAAGTGAGGGAAATAATCTCATAATTAATAGTAGATATGCTTATTATATTTGGCTTCTAATTTTTAAACTTTCTTTTTTGAAGAGATGGCGATGAATTCTGCACAAAACGGATAATCGTCACACATAAAATAGGGAGTTCTATAAAGTTTAGGAAAAGGAGTATTTGAATATTTCCTGAAAAGGCTTTTAAGACCACCTTTGTATAGTACCAAAAGAAAAACTTGAAGGAAATCGTCATTTAAGTAAGGATGTGACAATTTTAACCAGTTTTAACTTTTTGGGAGGGAAATTTAATATTGTTCTCCGTTGTCAGGAAAGAAATGTAATAAGGATGATTAATATTTTTTCTTTACTATAAATTATCCTTAACTAGCGATTTATAAATTTCTGAAATTTTAACTATCAAATTTAAAAATTGCCTTTTTTTTTTTTTTTTTTTTTTTTTTTTGCGAGATACATGCTGAGAATCAATGTTATAGTTTTCGTTTCATATACTCCAGCATTAGTTTAAATAATTAATTTCAATTTATATAATAACACATTTAGACGAGGTACAAGTTCTACTTTTGAGAAACTTTCAGTAATACTCACTGACGGTATTTTATTTTTCTTTAAGCGTAAGTAAGTAATTTACCTCAAGGCAGTTCCGCGCGTAAATTCCGATGAATGTTGATTGACCTGGCTGCATTCCTATGTTAACTAAGCCGGAACCAAAGTTTCTGGCACGTTCCATGAACTGAAAAATAAATAAAGTTATTTTATTCATTTACACACTGTAACATTAATTAAATTAAATACATTAATATGTAGAGTTCCTCATTTTGTAGTTCTAAGTTAATGTTGGAAGTGAAGAATCTAAGAACTCATAAGCGAATAATCGCTTAAGTTCGGTGACAAGAAACAACAAGATAGAAGGGTAACTAACCCTTTATTATTTCAATAAGATTTAACAAAACTCTGCCTGGGAGTGTACAAACAAAGCCCGCACTTGGGTTTGAACTTAAAAGACTAAGAATTAAACTAAAACTAAGATTAACTAAAGAAATAAAGCCGAAGCTATCAAGGTTCAAATCGAGTTGGCCACTTAACTTATTTGACTACGAAGCTTAGCAAGGGTATGAGTACGGCCGAGCGTAATAACAGCTTTGAGAGAGAGAGAGGGGCCAAAAAGGCAGACCCGCGTAAATCAGAAACTCTGATTCTCTCTGAGTCAGTAAGTAACTTCGTGGTTTAAATACCGCTCCTCCTCATTAAATATTCAGCAAGATTCCAAAACTACGTTCTGGCCGGAAGTAGTAAGTTGAAGTTAAGAATTTGACAGGAAAGAAACTTTAAATTAAAATTTAACTTAACATAATCCTTACAAATAAACTACAAATATATTGTAACAAGTTTGATGTTTTATTTCATGTTATTAAAATGTACCTTTGTTTGTAGTATTGTCAGGACTTGTGTTTCTCTTTATTTGCGTTGGAAACATGAATGATCCTGAATAGGAACAGCGAGCTTACTCAAGCTATGTTCAAGAAGTTGTGAAGTAGACAATACAAGCAGGAAGGGTATACAAAACCCTTTATTTTCAATACTTTACAGGTATTTACGAACTTCGGAATACAGAGACCAACCACTTGTGGTCTGAACGTAAGAATATAAAAACTACTAACTAAAACTCTAACTAAAAGCTAACTTTGAATTAGTATACAAATGCCTAGCACTAAGATTGGCCTTTATTTAAAAAGGTACGTATGTAGTATGCCGAGCTGCTAAAACTACGATTCGTCTGCAAATATCAAGAGGGCTAAACCTCTGGCCTTAAAGGCAACCAGCAACCGAGTGAAAATTCGTAAAACTACAGTGGCAAGCGGCTTGCTTCCTAAAACTCCTTCTCACTCTCTCTTGGCAAAAAGCCACAACTTAAGTACTTAGCGTTAACAAGACAATTTGCATAAACAAGTTAAAACATTTAATTCTGGCCAGTAGTAGAAAATAAGAAGTGATAGTACAGTTTTAAAATAAAATAAACGTTAGTAAAACTTAGGATCGTTACAGTATAAAAGAGGAATTTTTAAAACATTTCATTCCACTAAGTAATACTGTAAAGGAATATTTTTGTAAAATAACGAAAACAAGAAAATTTTTTAAAAACAGGGCTTTACAGGTTCGTGGATTTGGAGTACACAGCCTTCATCTATAAACGTGAAGAATTTCTGAACTCAAGACACGCCTTATGATGTTTTCCTGCTACAGGACTCAACTGATTTCCATTCAAAGCCATGTCCCTTTGGGAATTCTCTCATCGCTGCTAGGAAGTACTGCCACAGTGTAGTAGAAACCCAGCAAAAACAACTCAGTATCTTAGTAGTATCTCAAGACACACTACTTTACATCACCTTAGTCTACAGGCAGGAGGAACAGGGTATATATAACTTTAACTTAACTTTGAGAATACTCTCTGGAAAACCGCTAAGAATGCGTTTCAGAATGTTCTCGCTCCGTCTATTTTAATTTATTATAATAATTTTGCAATTACCAAATATTTTTATCCAGTGTGTTAGAAAATATATAAAGGTAACACAATACAGACAAGGAAAAAAACGAAAACGTATCTTTTTATAATATTAACGTTCTTTTTCTTGCACGTGACGCTGTCATTTCGTCTGTTACTTATTTAAAAATTTCACATTGTTCTCTGCCTTGAAATTAAAGTTAATGACCTAATCTGCAATAGTATATTACAGCACAAGTGAAAAAATTGACAGTTTCACTCACGCATGTGTCTGATATGCGTAATACTTATGGGTCCCACAAAAGTTTTGTATATTTTATGGGTCCTGGGAGTTACGAAAAAATCTCAGTGATAAATAGGGGTCGCAACTGAAAAACGTTTAAGAAACCCTGGTTTAAATGAATAACCACCACCTACAGTACATTCATCACAACGATGACGAACTAATTAGAAATACGGGTGATTAAAATGATGTTTCCTTCTGACTAGGTTTTCGCGTTCACATTTTACATTCCACTATACAAAGTATTACGAAAATTGTCATTTCCCATGCTCTCTATCCATTAAAGTGGCTGTATTCTGTTACATCTTGTATAAGTGTATTATAAAGTATTAAAAGGATTTGAAAATTTAATTTATGTGTTTTGTAGAATTAGTCCGACTTTTTAGAACGGAAGCCTAGAATTAGTCCGACTACAGACTGAAAAACAGAAGGTATATAATTAGTTTTATTATTAAAACACATGACTAAGTATTCTTAAAGAATTCACTGATTATTAGATTAGTCAATATGAATGAATGTAATTTGTAAGGTTGTTAAGCACAAAGGAATGTCAATAATATATATATTTATATCTACATTGATAAATAGAATATTTTATAGAGAATTTTTTCCTAAAAATAGTTATTAATTATTAACTGAATATTTAAAACAATTTTTGAGAAAAAAATTATGTGATATGAATTTGAATTTTATGAAATACCAAAATATTGTTTTAAAAAGATCAGGTATCAAAATCTTGTCGAAAGGCTGCCCATTTGTAATTTTTTTCACAGAGTGGATATGATATTTTTTAAACTGGAAACTAATAGTAAGATCTGCCATGCCGTCATGTTCGAAGTGAATTTAGAGGAAAGTGGTTAAAGGCAGTGACAGTTACAGCTTTAAGACCGATAAAACTCAATATCTGTTCTTCTGAGTAATATTTAAAAAATATTAAACTAATTTTACAATATTATATTCAAATCAAAAACTTTAACATACTCACTTCACCAAAACTTATCCATGTGTACTCTGATTTTCCTATTCTATAGCCGAAACAAGGACCATTTCCTGTATTTATAAAGAGAGATTTGTATTTAAATTTCCATTAATACTTCTGAATGTAATATTATTTAGCAAAAGCTGTGTCACATGTTGTATGCATTATTTATGAAATATAGAAAAATACAACAGATGTAATGTGCAAAAGAATTTCAGAATTTTCATAAATTTTGCCTTTATCTAAATCTTTCCAAATGTTACTATGACCTACCAACAAGCTATAACAAAAAATAAACTAACGTCTATTAGAAGCACATTATAGCATGTTTTTAAAAACAGACATTTCAAGGTCTTTTCACCCTTCCTCATTTTCGATCGTAACGTGTGTGGCCATTACCGCAAAACACCTGCTCTGAGATTATATATATTTCCTTCACTTAACCAACTTGACTAAGTTAAAGTCTGCCTTCATTTGACTGTGCTTTTTCAGAAAGGGAAATAAACTAAAAGGAATTAAATGCTTAAAAACAGTGAAGGAACTGACCATGTCTCTCGGTTGTCATTACCATAGGTGTAAGGCAAGCCCTCATTTTCGATCATAATGCTTGTCGATTTCATAGCACACCACTTCATTTGCGACTACACAACCAGTCAGCGTTCATTCGTGGGCTTTTCACAAAGCGAAATGGAAATGAAGCTGAGGAATAAGCTAAAAAGAAATGAAGTGCGTTAAAAAACAATTAGGGGAGCTGAACATCTTCCGCAGCTGTCGTTACCATGGTTACGAAGCAGGTTGGGCGGGGCAAAAGTGTCCATACTAAGTTAATAGAATACAGTGACGAAGAGAATAAACCATTGGAAAATGAGATTTAAGAATTAAGAAAATTAAAAACTGAAATTAACTAAAGAATTAAATTTCTGATCTCTTCATTCAAAAAAGAACAAAAATTGGCAGTGAAAATTGACGTAATATAAGTAAAGTATGCAGTATTATAGTTTCAAATGAATAACGATATTTTTTCCTTCAACTGCAAGTACGAAAATTCTCTCTTTAGTGCAGAAGAAGTTACAGTTTCCTCATTTGCAATTCAAGAAGCTGTACTACAAGATACACCAAATAATTTACACATTTTTTCTCACATTATGCTAATTCTTTTTGCCAGTTTTTGTTCTCTTTAGCATGAAATTCATTTGGTTTTTTTCGTAAAATGTAAATTCAGGGATTAATTAATCAATTTTTAATTGTAATTGTTGATTATTTAGGTTTTAGCTGTAGAGCTAATAATAGCAATAAAAATATTTATTAAATCGTATAATTTGCAGGAAAATGATAAAATTAAAATAGCGTGTCAAGTTCCTGCAACATTTCAAAGCTTAATTATGTAATTCTGCAACCTTCTAAAACACAAATTACAGGTTCAGAAAGTGGAATTGCAGTACCCAGTCAAAAGGCTAGGTTAAGTCATCTGAATATGGGAAAGCGCATGAGGGCTATCTTCCTAAAAGTAGGGATGTCTTCGTGTAGAACTTTCTATGGGAAACTGGAGATCGTATTCATGTTACGCATAGAGAAACACACTAAAATCAAACACCCAGCCAGTAATTTCCCCTGAGTTCGAAACTGGCTTAAACTACCAGTGTTCAGCAATCTTAACCACTCATCCACTGATGGGGGTCTGGTCAAAGGAATAGTTAACTAAACTAAAAGTTTTAAAATAAACTATGGGCTATGATTATCAGCTTAACACTAGATTGCTGATCTTTGGTATTTTTTAAACCAATGGACAAGGCGATCGCAGATATTGAAAGCTCACAGGAAAACGCAAAGCCTGACATATCTAGTACTCATTGTTACAAACTAGTTACAAACGGATAAAACCAGCCCATGCAGGTACTCCGTTTGCCTGAAATCGAACTAAGGACGAAATACCAGCATTCACCGACTTTATCATTCGGCAGTTGACGGGACGTTGTTTCATTTTAAATATTAGCTAATACCCGTAGAAAGACTTTGCGTATCATGATTTGCATGAGGCAGCAGATACAATGCATTGTATAATTATGCACATAGTAATTTCAAAGATATAAAGTCTGAGAAATTGCAAATGAAGGCATATCGCCTTTACTAATGCAGGAATATTCTCTTCTTTGGCGTAATTATTAATTTAGGTAGAATACTTTATATTTAATTTAGTGTATTCTATAATTTAGGTCCAAAGATTAATTTTAGTTAAGAGTATAAAAGAGAAGAGAAGTTCGTAAATTAACTAGAATAAAAAATCAGTAAAAGCCTTTGTTTATAACAGATTGAAATAGACACATTAGATTCGTTAGCATAGCAATCGACTGTGATCTGTGAGCCCGAATAACAGTTGTATGTAAGCAAATGTCGATGTACTGGGTGAAAACAGCGAGACGGTTGCAGTAAATATTGTGATACTTCTTTGGCAACATGAAGCAACTCCATTGATAAAACACAGAAAAAACTTTATTTAGCACTCAAAATAACGACACACAAAACAAGAAAAAGAAACGAATTCTAACATTTTAAAATAAAATACGGTGCTACTTTGGTAGACGGTTGCACGGATTTTGGCGATTTTTTGGCAATTTTCCTTTGGCGAGTAATACAACTTATGGTAAACCCATTGCTGGATAAGTTATTTATGGTAACCGATACTTTGTTGTCATTTTATTTAAAAAATAATGCGTTTTATTGTGCATAAATTCCGTGTTTAAAATATTATTTATGGCTTTTAAATATTAAAAATCAATTTAACTTTGCATTTTTATTTTTTTGAAATAAAATTTTATTGTTTATCATATTTTATGAAATTTTATGTTGTGGATGATGTAATCAATGACGTCGCCTTACTTTAAAAGTAATTCGTTTTAATATGTATAAATTTAATCTAATGTTTTAAACATTATTTATGGCTCTTAAATATTAAAATACAATTTAATTTTGCATTTTTTTAAAAATTGATTTTATTATGTATGAATTTTTAAATAATTTTTATTCTAGCCGTTATGTAATAAGCTCTCTGATTGGTTATAGAATATTTGTGCATTAACGAGCTGTAATCAGCTCCCTGATTGGTTACTGACAATTTGTGCATTTCCGCGCCGTTTTAAAATTTAATTTATATCTTCGAATTCCTTCAAAGATGTCTTCAAAGATGTTAACTAAATTATGATTCTGATTTTTTATTGGGCTACTTATCAATAAACAACAGGTTAAACACTCAAAAAAATGTAAGTACATATTTTTCTTTTATTTTATAATTGTATACTTCAATTTTTGTTAAAAATATTAATAAACTATTTTCAGAAATTGCTGAGATAATTATTGTCCATATGTTTTGATGTTAATTATATTCTATATAACGTATTTTAAAGTATTTGAATTTAATAATATTCTAATTCTTTTAAATGTTGGTATGATGGTTTTTAATTCGATATTCAATTTTAGTAATATTTTAATCTAATTAAACGTTGGCCCAATGTTTTCATAGTGGTGTTTTTATTCTCTTCTTCGCTATATGAAAGTAATAATAACCTTACTTTAGTATTTTACACTCATAGTAAATGTATTTATTTACACTTGCCTGCCATCTTAAAAATGACATTTTCAACAAAAAATTAATCCATTACTTTTAACGATATTTATTTATTTATTTTTTAAGTTTCGAATACTTTACTATGCGTAAAAACAGCGTTTTTCAAGATGGCTGACGTTTGTAAAAATCGCGCCAACAATTCGGCCAACGTAAATCGCCAAAAATCCGTGCAACCGTCTACCAAAGTAGCACCTAAAATACATTCTTCGTACGAGAGTCGCACGTGGCACTCGAACCTGGTTTCAAACATCGCCATTCACATATACCTTAATGTTCATCTAATTGAATTATTTATTTTAAACTACAAGATTTTAATAATATTTAAAGCTGTTACAACCTCTCCCACAACAGAGAGACTTTTGCCGAAGGGAAAAGTTCTGTAAAATTCGAAAGTTTATAAGCTCGGCTTGCTCAATTGCTTAAAGAGAAAACGTAACTTCTCTCATAAGTTTCCAAATTTCAGGCCAAAAATTTTAAGTTTTAAACAAATACTTTTACACCACATTTAAATAGGAAGAAAATGGACAGTGTTCAAATTAGTCTTCCTTTTTTTTCTTGACGGCGCCTAGATCTCTTCCTCGGCTATAATTCACAGCAAAGCCTTTCCTCAGTTCATCTGTGCCTTTCGGATAATATTCAATTGTCATTTGCTTTCGACAATTGTTTTCTTCGTCTATTAGTAGCGGCTTTGAAATTAAATCAAAAGCCGAAAAATGATGATAACGCTGCATTACCAAATGATTCTCAGTATTAATTTCTTCATCGTTTTTCAAATTTTCTTCAACATCTTCCACGTTTAATTCCGATGATTTAACGTCTTCTTCAAAGACATCTCCGGATGCTTTATTTTCTTCCTTCATCGGTTCGAAGATCTCCTCTTCAGCTATTTTTCTTTTTCTTTGAGCTCTAGTAGAGACGGCATTAACCTGATGAGGATGACTATCAGGTTCCTTTCTTTGTTTATTCAACAGTGCAAAAGTTTGATTGCCTAATAAATACCTTCCCTCGTCGAGAGCATTTCTAATAATGGCAGCCTTAGTTATTACTCGCCCAAGATCGCAATTTAGTTCGATCTCAGCCAATGGTAAAGACCCATACTAGTATAAGGTAATAGAAATTTATTTTCTGGTTTTGCACTAATTCTGCTAAGATTAGCAGGAGATTCAGTACTATTCTTAAGTTTTGGACATTGGGGTCTTAAATGTTGATAGGATCCACACTGATAAGCATTGTCTAGCGTCTTTTTCCGTTTTTCATATTTATCATCTGGACGTGGACTTTCTAGGTCTATAAAACCAGCTTTGCGAATTAAATCCTGATGACAATTTTTTTTCAGTTTTATTTCTATTATCTGAACTCACTTTACCTTGAGTTAGTGCATTGTATCTTTCTTTCTGCCGATCCACTACAGGACTTTTTTGAAAGTTTCCACGAACATTTTCATAGGTATCAAGTTTTTCAGCTAATTTTTAAATGAAATCATCTCTACCCACTCATCAAGGAAATGATCTCGAATTTCAGGAGGAACTCGACGCTTAAGTTGGTCAATCACCATCAAATCTAGCAACTGATCAAAAGTCTTAACTCCTAGACCAGTCACCCATTCTTTGCAATAATTTTCTATTTCATAATTGAAATCCACCCATATGGATTCGGTACTCTTTTGATGTTTCATAAATTTCTGCCTAAACTTTTCCGGGCTTAGTTTAAACCGTCTTAACAATAAATTCTTCACGTGTTCATAGTCTTTAGCTTTATCGGAGGGTTCTCTAGCTATTAACTGGGTTACTTCGTAAGGAAGTAGTCCTAGTAAATGAGATACAAATTCTTCTTTATCAATTTGAGCCCATTCTGCTTGCCTTTCAAACAATAGCAAATATAGACTGATATCTCCTTTCTTGTCATCGAATTTCTGCATAAGGTGACGCAGCTCTGTTTTCGGCAGGATCTGTCCGGTATTTTGAGACTTCGTCTCTGCTTCAAGTCTTAATCTCTCTAATTCATACTGTTCGTTCCTTCTCCGCTCTTCTGCTTCTTCCTGTCGCCTACGTTCTTCTCTTTCCGTTCTTCTATTATTGTGTATAAGACTCCTTTGACGAATACTTCATCATAATCTCTACTTTCAACAATTTTCTGTTTTAAATCGACTATTTTTAAATCTGCAGTCACATGAACTCCCAGTTCAGCCGCGAGATTTTGCAAATCTTCCTTACGAGCTCTTCCTAAGTAAGACATTGTTTCTATGTTTAAAATTAACGAAACACTGTGTTCTTTATACTTCCTCAAAATAGCTCAAATCAATTACTTTAATTAATTAATTCAGTCTGGAATCACGGAATTAAATGCACTCTGCTAAATACGCAAACCTCAAAAAGGAAATATTTAAATTATATGAAATTCGTATTCTCTATCACATTAATTGCAACTAAAATAAAAATAATAACATACAGCAATATATATATATCTGCTGTCTGGAGAACTAAAATGAATATTAAAAGTAATATCCAATACGGTAATAAAATAAGACCATTCAATATTAACAGGAAGTAATAATCTGGTATGACTAATATTGCGTTCAATGATGAACTAATAAAATAAAAATACGCACGATTATTCGATCTCGGTCGGTGCCTCCAAAATAATTATGACTGTGATACTTCTTTGGCAACATGAAGCAACTCCATTGATGGAACACAGAAAAAACTTTATTTAGCACTCAAAATGGCGACATACAAAACAAGAAAAAGAAACGAATTCTAACATTTTAAAATAAAATACATTCTTCGTGCGAGAGTCGCACGTGGCACTCGAACCTGGTTTCTAACATTGCCATTCACATATACCTTAATGTTCATCTAATTAAATTACTTATTTTGAACTACAAGATTTTAATAATATTTAAAGCTGTTACAATGTGTTGCTATATCAGAACATGAAATACGGAACATAAAGCATAAAGCTTAAGTATAAATAAATACAAATAGGATGAGACATTCAAACCCTCTCGTCACACAATTCTTGAAAAGATTTGATATTTGAAGCTCTGGGTCTTTCCTATAAATCCTAGCTTATTAATATCGGAGCAGTAAAGACGCTGAGCCCTGATTCCACCCGGAGTGAAATAGTCAAATCCCAGGGAACAGACTAGCCGTATTCAAGTTTCCGTGGTTTTCGAAAACGAACTAATTTTCCTTTAAATAATTCAATACGAACAAATTTTCCCTAAACTTCCTCCACGAAGGCATTCCTTCCATTATGTACTTTGTCCGTAAATGCTGTTTCTGCTAAAAATATGTTAATGTTTTAACTGGAAAATTCGGAAAGTTTTGTTTTATTACCAGGAAAAAGAAAAGTTCACTAAATAAAGAATGCGACTGCTGTAGACGCGAGTCATCAAGATTATCTCATGGCAGTTCTAAGTGACATACTCTTAACGTCATCTGACAAACCTGAAAATTGGTTTTAGTTTGTGAGATTAAAAAATTATTCATTATTAAATGTTAAATTTTTGAACAAATGAGATTTGTTTTGTACGATAATCAATTTGAATTAAACATAATTTTATGTGACTTTTGCGTTAATCATGAATCTTAATATTATGCAACACAGTATACTCTATGTTAATAATAAGCATCACAGATATACATAAATAAATTTGAATTGTATTTATACCTGATAATCGATAAGCTCTTGTAGGCACATCTAGAACAGTTTTGACATCATCATATAGAAAATCCGTCTGTTTTCCTAATGGTACTAAATGTGATTGGTGACTATGATCTGAACCCTAGAAAAAATTGTGTGAGCAGAACATAGTGAGAATTAAATTATTAACTTTTAAACACATGTATTTGAAAAGTATGCTGATCCCGAAAACTCGATGTAATGTTAATATTTCGTAAATTGAAAACACAATTAAATCAGAGGCTAATTTTTCTAGGAAAATTGCTGGTAGCTATAAGAAGAGAGCAATAAAGATATGCAAAGAGAGCAATAAAGGAAGAATTTCACAGAATTTGCCTTTCATTATGAGAATGAGGATGTGGACACAAAACTTTAATATCTTGGATAGGAAGAAAACAAATTCAAGCTTTTTTTAGTTCATCATCTTTCTTAGTTCTTCCTTAGGAAATTCCTTTTAAATTATTCATTTAAAGTGCGGTATAAAAGCAGAAGATTCAGAATATTTAGATTTCGAATAAGTTAATAAAATGTACGTAATTAAGGGGACTCATACACCTTAAAACCCATAAGATGTTCGAATAGGTGACAGTTGCAAAAATTGGGATAACTTATTTATTTTAAAAGCAATTACTACCAACGTTTTACAGCTGACTATATAATATGGCTGCTTTCTGAAATAGTAATCAGAAAGTTTGTGTTGCCACAAATATTTTTATAATTTAATCCGTTTTGTGACAACATTTTTCGCCATGTTTCCAACTTGCGCGCACGGTTTAAAACATTCTGTTACATAATTTAATTCCATATTTTATATATATAGCTTTTATAACATTTGGAAACTACTGTGAACCTAAAATTCTATAAATTTCATGTTAAATTTTTATTTTATTTTGAGTTGAGTTTATAAAATGTATTTTATTAAAAAAATTTTAATGTTTTCGTCCATAAAATTTTTCAGTATTAAAATATTCATCAGATTGTTGGTTCAGTTAGAAAATAGTGCCCATATAAAGAATTCCCTCAAATTTCAAGTATGTACCATTTGCCATTTTTAAAATATCATGCGCGCAAGGTGGAAACATGGCGAAATATTTTGTCACAAAGAGGATTAAATTACAAAAAAATTTGTGGCAACACAAACTTTCTGGTTACTAGTTTCCAAAGCAGCGATATTATGTAGTCATCTGTAAAAGGTTGGAAGTAATTGCTTTTAAAACAAATAAAATATCCCAATTCTTGCAACAGTCACATATTCGAAGATCATAAGGTGTTTAAGGTGTACGAGTCCCCTTAACCAAACTTTTATTGGTTTTATATTTCATTGTTGAGTACTACGCATTTGTAGATGTCTCTTTAAATAGTTACTCCCGATGATCAGGAAGAAGCATTGCAGAGTAAATATTGATAGTTGTAAATAGCTTAAAGGGAGAGTGGATATTACGCAAATCCTCCTCAGCATATAAGACATATAAATTACTAAAATCACTCACAGAGAAACTCTAAAACCTAATTCAGCAATACTTTGGACCACATCCTCTCTGAAGTATTCAGAACTGATTCATAAAAGACGCATCGATGGCTGTTGAGACCATAGCTATATGGTCTCAACAGCCATATAGTCGCAGAATCATCTGAGAGCTTTCGGTGCTCGAAAGCAGCGATCCTGCCAACTAACTATGCTTACTAAGCAAATATCTTAATCAGTCTACCAGTTGAATAAATCTGGAAGCTTTGGGTAAAAGGACTCCTAGAGCTTCGAAAATACTTCTAAATGTTGTCGAGTTGGAGACAAAATCAGGTGAAATTAGAGAATGTTCCAGAAGTTCCTTCAAGATCAAATTTTAAATTAGGGAAGGGATAAAAGAAAAAAAAAGGGTGACTGAGATTGCGCCTTTTTTTTAAATACACCCTTGTAATACTTCGGCGGATACGGATTTTGAAGTTGCTTATGTAGACCTAAAAAAGCCTTAATAAGCTGGATAAGAAAGTTAAGCTTCTGAGGGCGTATGACTTTGACGAGCTAGAAGATGAGGGAAACGCAATGACATCATCGTCTCCTGTATTCTATGTGTGCCAATCAGATCAAAAGCGACGACAGGTAAAAGTCACACCGCGCAAGAAAACAAACGTCAACAGTGAAAACTAAGTTACGAAGTTATGGTCTCTAAGTATCTCTGTTAGAAGCAAATGGTCTGATCAAATTATTTTCTTGAATGATTTTTTTAACTAAGAACTTCTGAAAAATTTGCGTTACAGCTAAGTCCAGTTTCGCTTATTAAGTTTAGTAATGTGGTCCATTTATAGGGTCGATTTTCAAGTCATCATGGACCAGTTTGTTTCCTATCAGGTGATGAGTATTTACAATTCTTCGCAGAATCCTCTTGGCTAAATTTTGGCTTGCTTCCTCATTTTTATATGAGTGCTAATTTCAGCAGAAGTAAAGATTGCGTTTACAAGAAATTCGCAGTGAAATAAAAAATTTTGACTCTTAGTTAATTTGCAATTTTAGGATGACTTTAAAGCTCAGAAATGAGAACGGAACTGAAGTGAGCAACGTAGCAAGGATTCCGAAGAATAAAGGAAATAAACGTTGCTCACTCACGACTTTCCTTTCGGTTTTAAATCCTCTGGTCTACATATTTATGGTGCCACCAGGCTGTACAAAATAAAATCTGTATCTAATAGAATATTAAATTTTTTATTTCGTATTCTTATGAGATATTTGCGTTTTGAAAATTATTAACAAAATTGAAGTATCTCACAAAGTAATTTCGATGTTCTTATTGAGTTACTTAACGGAAGTGCGTTTCTTCCTCTTAAGAACGACACTATATCCAGTTTTACAAGGTAATTCTCAGAATTCTAGTATCTTAGCAAATTCATATTTCATTATTGTTTTCAAAGGATGATACATTTCTCTTTAAAGCTGCCCATTTATTTCCATATGTATCTGGCAGTTTGTTCGTCTCTCTTGGAAAATACTTATTCTAGATAGACTCTTGACAAAAGCTTATTCTGGAAGGACTCTTGGCAAAAGCTTATTCTAGGAGGACTCTTGACAAAAGCTTATTCTAGAAGGACTCTTGGCAAAAGTTTATTCTAGAAGGACTCTTGGCAAAAGCTTGTTCTGGAAGGGCCTATGTTAGCACTTTGAAATGGAAAAATGTATTCAAAAATCCAAGCCGACTGGTAGTCGTTTTCAAATTAATCTGAAGTTACTTTTTTGTGATAGTAATTTTGTTAATTATTAAAGTTTATTTTAGTTATAATTTTATATAAAATAAAGCAGTTGAGTTATGTAGATTGATGAAAAAAACAAACTCTGTTCTGAAAAAAAAAAAAGCATTGCTAGTAAGTTTAGTCTAACAAAAAAGATTCTTACGTATATTAAAGCATTTTATTGATAATAAAGAGGTTAAATAAAAGAAAAGCTTACAAACTTACCGGAACTAAAAGAGACTGGTCGCTGATGTCGACTCTCGGTGTTACTTTGCTAGGAAAAGTTGCCATATTACCTAACTGAAATATTCGTCGTCACTTTAAATTAAGAGCCCCACGTGAGGATCAATGTATATTATCTAGAGATAAAAGACATATGTTGAAGCAATAGTATAAATTAAATGTACTTCATAAGCTATTTTATTTAATAAAATATAATTTCCAGAACAATTCATTTTATGTTATATGGTTTTATTTAGCATGGACTCTTTTCTTTTGTTTAAATAAGATCTTCGAAATAATAATTTTGCTCACATATATATTTCAGATAGAAAAGTACAAATTGATACGATTTTTTAAAAATTCGATGTCAATTAAATTCCTTTTATACTTAGCGTTGAAGTTTTCCGTCATATCTATAAACTAATCAAACTAAACATAACAAAATTTCGATATTTCTCACATCGGACATGCGGCTTAACAGAAACGAATATTAAATGAAGTTAATTGTTTAATTTTCAATGAAATTAAATGAAGAGAAATTAAATAAGGCTAGACTATCTGAATATGGCACAGCAAGGGAGGACTATCTGCCTAAGGGGAAGGATATATTCATGGAAGACTTTCTAACAGAAACTGTTTTGTTATGCTTTAGATTATGAAACGGTATTCACGTAACAATGTATAATTATATCCTTGACCACTTTCTAGAGAAATTGTTTGGTTATAGTTAAGAGGATGAAACTTTATGCAATGAACAGTTGACAACAAATCCAGCAGAATATCGCTTGTCGAAATTTATTACAATTCTCAGAACATTTCGTGACAGATTTTTCAGCATTTACGGAAATATCGCAAAAATTACCGGTTTACTTTAAGCGACTAGTATGTACAGAATGATGCCGTTGTTGGGCCTCTGGAAAGAATAAATTGGAGCGAGTTAGAGTTTTTTGGCCATTAGTTCAATGAAAAAGCTAGAGATTATTTTATCCCCCGACTCTGGGTATCTTCAGTGCCTGGTGTTCTATGATTTTGAAAATGAATTTAAGTATTTTATCTCATTTAGTGGAAAATTTAAGAGTAATTTTCAGTCATATATGAGATAATTGCTTCACTGATTCTATTCATCTTCTTCACTGATTCTATTCATTTAGAACTTCATGAAAAGGCGAATTGTTTTGCGTCATCATTCTGTGCATGCAAGCGATGATGTACAATAAATATCCCAATTATTCTAAGAGAAAATTTGGTCACTTTTCTCTTCTAATAATCAGGTACTCACTTAGCCTGCAAATGAAGTACCATTCAAGATATTCTTCAATATTTAAATTAATGGACATAGCTGATTACCACTCTTTGCAAAAACACGGACTATGCAGATAATAATTTAAGAAAATTTAAAGGTCATTATTTTAGGACATTAAAAGGCCATGATAAAAATTCGTTTAAGGCCATGCAGTGGGTCAGTGTGATCTCTCTGTTGATATATAACCTCGCTCTTTTGGCAGAGCCTTTAGCCAAGGATATCTTTGGCCTTGGCTGTAGCTAGGAGTTTCAGCGCCCGTGGACAACTGAAGATTTCATTCCTCCTCCTGTTTGTTAAATACGGAAACCATTTCCCTCTGGATGCTACCCTCGGTGATAAAATGGCTAAATGACGCATAAATACTGGTTATTCCTGACGAAGGCATTAAAGTATAAGAGTTTCGACATTCGTATTCAGAAATTTAACATTTTAAAGAATTCAGACAATTCAGCATTTTAAGCAATATAATATTCAGAAATTTAACATTTTAAAATTTTATTATAAACACAGGACCAATCGACTTTTTAACACGTTCTAACTGTGATTCTAACCAAAATCTATTTTCCTTTTTGATAAATCAAAGTTCCTTAAATCGTGCTTCTTACAGCCGAGTCATTAACATATAAATAGGCTACGGAAAATGATTAATCTTTCTACGACTGCTTCGGTATTATCAGTAATGAATATAACATAGAATTCCATAAATGCTTAATAGTAAGGATTATTTCGAAATTACAAAGGCAAAACCAATAATTTTATCTTTCGAGTTTTGAGATCAGTGATGGCTTCCGACCCTATATATTGAAAAATTGTTGCCTTGTACTTCATTATAGAGTGAATAAATATGACGATTTCTGACAAATCTTACTTTCTTATTGTAATAAAATTCGCATGTATTAATATGAAATTACTGGATATTATCATGATGAAATTATTATGGACTCGACCGCTTGAGATGATGTGAATTGATGCTACCTCTTAAAACAGCAACAACTTCAGGGAAAATATTATGTGAATGCAAAAGAAATCTTCATACCAAATAATGTATTACTTTAACGTGCTCTGACTGCGCGCATTCAAGGGATTTATGCTAAATTTTTCTCCCTATTTGTGATAGTAATCAACCAAGTATTGTATACCTGTATGTACAGTTTTGGTTTGATGCATATTACATAACGTTTGTAATTATTTCAAATAATTTAGATTGTTAAATATTGCTAACAGTTCCGAAAGCAAAATACAAAAATCATATTTAATTATAATTTTTAACTTATTGCTTCATTTATGCGATGGGATGAGATCTGAAAGCAGATAATTACTCGTATTTCGAAGACGCATATTCAAAGCAAAACTCTACGTGAGCTAGGTTTGTTATTCTCGGTTTGTACATTTTGCGAAAAACAAAATGTTAAAGGTGTAAGAAACCATCCATTAAACAAATTTTTTAATTGTCCTTCATTAATAAACCGATGCACAGGGTAACAACTTTGCAATTAGCTTTTTATTGTTTCCAACGTAATAATAAATAACTGTTGGCGGTTTTCCTCCTTCAGATGTTATCTACTCAATATTTGATCCCGATAATCATCTGGAAGAGACCAGTTTCTCATTTTTGTTAATAAGATTTTCGAAGAAATTATTACTGCTGTTATTTTTCATCTTATTCCTACAGGCACGATTGTTTTGACCTATGGAAAGGCAATTTTTTGCACTTTGCACATAATACCACACAAGATGTAATCAGGTATGTGCTAAGACACAGCCCTATTTAAAATTATACATCTCTTATTCTAGACAGTACCTCGTCCTGTGGTATACCATGCCTTATCGTCAAGCCAATTACTGGTAATCTTACTGTTGTTTACATTGATCAGCCGAAGATTGTTTATGAACATAGTCTAGCTCCAAGCATGAGCCTTTACCTTTAAAAAACGGCATCTGTTATTACGCAAGCAAAAATGAGCTGAAGCGTAAAATCCATTGTCCTTATATGACAATTACTTAAATGCTATAAATTACGTGAATGGAAAAGATTACAGATGTAATAATATCAGCTCATTGTTTGTACACTGACTGAAGCCAACCGATCACTAAAACTAATAACTTACAAAAAAAGCTTCATGGATCTTTTATGACAATTTATAGCTTTCTGGAGACTAATCTAACATCAGAACACGATTGCGTCTCTCGTTGCCATGGGCCATGGGAAACTTGTAAGTGACAGAATGACTTTGTCCAGCTCCGATTTTGGAGCATAATCCCCTCGAGGGGGAATTGATCCAAGGTTCTCCCATATCTCCTCCCCTTCCATTAAGCCTCTCGACTGAACATTCGGCTCGTCGTATCTTTGTGTCTCCATGCTGCAAAGCTATATACGCTTACAAACATCCAAGCCATCTCCTGGATTCGAACCTGGCTCAATGATACGGCGGAACAGCTTCATAAGAGATCCCCGGCATAAGGATGCAACACCCATATGAAAGTTGGCTGATGTTCGTAAAGAACAAAAACATTTCTAAAGCTGCTCTAATCATAACAGAGCGAGCACAAACTGAAGGTCTGCTTCTGGATTGAAACCGATCGTCAGCACCCATATGCAAATCTGAGTTTAGATGCAATCATCTTTATGCAAGTATTTTCATTTCAAATACTCATTAATTAAACAATAATTACTTTAAATTAGGCATGTTTTTACTTCCTTGTACGAAGTACAAGGAAGTAAACGCTGTCGGAGAAGTAGGTTTAATTCAATCTAATAAGTTTAAATAAAATGCAAGAAAAAATGCGTATAATTTAATATTCCGTACAAGGAAGTCATGTGGTGTACACATCAGATTTTTTTAATATGATTAAAGTGGTTCAAATTTCTGTGTATTTAGTATCCGTAGTCTGGATGCCACAAGAAATTTTTTATGGGTATTTGAAAGTAAATTGGAAGAACAAATTAAGCAAAAACTCTCCAGATTTATATTTATACTTTCATAACACTATTAGTAATAATTATACTACTTGCAAAATTCAGTTTTGGGTAGCTAAATAAGAGACCTGGTTCAAGAGACTATGCAAAAAATTCGGAATTTATAATCAAGAGATCATAGAAAATAATACTGAATTGTCTGTAGAAAGATCACGGGTTCATTATAAAAGAACTGGCAAATCACGATGTGATTATGTACAGTTCGAAAACCAAAATAGCAACCACAGTAATAGGTTTTGATGCTAAACAACTTGACAAAAAGTAGAAAGAAAATATATAAACGGGGAAAGAAGTAATATCAAGAAAATCACACAGGCTATTTAAATTATTAGATAGAACGTATAAAAAATTAATATTTGATAGAATATACAATATTTAGTATAAGGTATTTTATTAATTTATGGTTTGTATGCATTCCAAAACATATGTATCAAAAAAATAAATAAAGGAAAGATTAAGGAACAGGAACTACACAAGCATTTTTATGTGTATAACCGTTTGTCATTTCAATGAAAATGAGTTTAATTTGTTGAAATATTTGAATCCGTTCCGAGTACAACCTAAAACATTGTTCTGATTAACAAAAACTTCGGCACCTCTATACTAACCTAACTTTTTTCTAAAGGTGCTGATATCCTTATACGAAATCGCTGTTTTTCATATGGATGCCGAAGATATATTTTGTCTTCTAATTAATTAAATATTCGGTAACTGAAATAAAATCGGATTTGCCCTGGTATAAGGGACCGGTCATCCTTATGAATATTGTTTTTCTTAAGGTAGACACTGATCTTTAGTTTGTGCGCTCTCCCATATGCTGGAATGTCCCTATGAAGATTTCTATGTTTTGAAACAGATGACAGGTGACGGAGGACGGGGACGCCTGGCGTATAACATAGGTAAACAGGCATATGTCCCACGTCCTCCACTATCTCGAAGAAGCAACTCGCTGGAGCCCCGTGAGGCTGCACCGGGAGTTTACATGGCCATACATGTGCTAGATGTCGGGTAGTTTTTACATAGGACGTTGTTAATAACACAAAGTAACTTAAAAAAGAATATAAAGGATAGCATTAAAACACTAAAACACTCATATAAGCTGAAACACATAGATATACAAAATTAAACGTAAAAGCATAAAAACACACTCGTAATTACGTAACATAAAGACATAAAAACACACACGAGAATACATATCATGACACATAGAATACATATAGAAACACGTAGAGCACATAAATGCAAATATTACACACAGAAGAAACATATGTCACATAGTAACGTGTGCGTAAAGCAGTAGCGCTGTGCGGAAATATGCTCAGTTCACATAATACATAATGTACAACAGCGGCTGAGTGGTTAAGCGTATGATACACTTATGAAGGCGAGACACCTGTGTAACCTGACAACGCTAAACGCTATACCAATGTTGGCGGTATATGTAGTGTTCTTAATGGAAAAGAAAAAGCTGAAAAAAAGTAAATTCGAGAAATATTTTCAAGAAGCTAAAAAATATCAAAAATCACAAAAGAATTAAAACAATTAATACTCTTTTATATATGCCACTTAAAAAAATTATCTTTTCGAATAAAAGTTAATTTCCTCTTCGATATACGAACTAAATTTATACGTTCTTTCTTTCTTTCTTTTTTTTTTTTTTTTTTACGAAATCAAGCTCTCTATTTGTTTTGTTCTGTCATTCCTTACACCGAAAATAATTTGACAGGAGATGAAGAAGTTTTGCAGAATTTAATTGAACGGCTAAAGTGGAATTTTTATTAATTGCATGCAGTACCTTTCACATTGGATTATTTACTGTATGTGAAGTAGCTATCTTGTATACACTAGGAAACTCAACAAAATGAGGTAAAAATAACTATCCGCTAATTAATTAATCTTCTGAAGGCTAATTTTTAAATCGTTTTATTGTTTTTAGCGCGGCTTATATGATCTACTTCTGACGGTAATGCATTTCGCGACTTACTTATGATCTTCGCAGGAATTATACGACCTTCAGGTGCAATCGAGAATTTTTCCACAGGATTATTCTTTAATTTTACGACGGTTAATGTGGAGAAATATTCTATAATCCTCATAGTCAAAATTCCTGAATTATTTTCAGATTAAATGAATTATTTTTTATTTCTTTATTTAATTATGTGAATTATGTTTTTTAATTCCTTATTTTTTAAATTTGAAAACTCGAAAAATCATAGGAAATTTTAATATTTATGTTTCCAACTATAAAATTAGCTTCTTGAAAAGCTCTGAAACTAGTTTTAACTCTGTAAAATAAATTTTATTTTAATTTTGGTTTAATTTGAATAAAAGCATACACATAATTGCTTTATGTTTTATGTCTCGTTTGATTTAAAAAGCTAGGTATTACTAATAGATCAATAAAACCACCTCGGCGCAGTTTGGCTACTTTTTACAGAGGAAAAAAATGCGCCACATAATTGTTAAAAAATATATATTAAGTAGTTATTTGGTTTCCCCAAAATCTATTAAATCTAACCATAAGCAGCCTTTTTTGTCATTTTAATGCCTATTTAATGCATTTATGCCAATTTTAAAAATTGGGATATTTACAAGGCATCTTATATATGTTCTTTGGATTTCTGGGATTACAATATTGATATCTGAAGTGCTAAAATTCAAATCTGACAAAGAAAATTGCATCAAGAACGAAAGAATGCGCCTGCTATAGAAATTTTAGAAAACTGTACAGAAGAGATTTTTCCTAACAGAGATTAAGGTTCCTTATATACATTAGAATTTTTCTTTATCCACTTTGATCGATTTATTGCATTTTTAAAATCTGTGTTATTTACGAGACACCCTTATATATATTCTTCTGATTTCTGGGATTCTAATATTACTATCTAAATTTGCCTGCAATGGAAGTTTTAGAAACCTGCAATAAAGAGATTTTTCCTAATACTAACTTTTGAAAATCTAAATAACATTATCAGCTACTACGCGTATTGTGGAAAGATCGTTTAATCATACAATATATTTTAAAAAGCTATTTACAAAATTGTATATGAAACTCGTTTTAGTGGAATATGTTTGTTTCTCATATATATATCAATACATAAATGTAGGATTTTAAGTGCGTATACGACATTTAATTGTAATAGTACTTTTAGCAGCTTGCAGTCGTTATGGCTGAGGGTGGATATTTTGATGCGCTGTAGCTTGCAGTCTGCGTAGTTAGATAGATGGATGCATAAACCAACAACAGACGTGGCCGTATTTGAAACATACTTTTATTCCATGACAATTTACATCAGATCATTTTTGTAGACAAGACATTTATTCAATCATAGTTAAATACGATAATTTTTATGTACCCCGGCTTTAAAAGGACGAACGTAAGCACCTTAGACAGGGAAGCATAAGCAGCGTGGAGATGTTGGCAGAGCAGAATTTAGGGAAAGGAATGACGTAGTTGCTTGCGAGCAGTACTTACACTAAGTAGGTGCATAAATACAGTTGAGCTGTGATTGGTTAATTTTAGGTTGTTATGTAACGTGGAAAGATCTCGAATTTGGGAGAACAGATGAACTTAGGGTAACAAAACACCAAATTTAGAATAGTCAATTTTGAGGTTGCCAATTATTTGGATGCATAGCCATTGTATTTTATAATATCTTACATATATATATATACTTGTAAAAGAAGAAATATTTAAGCATTCTTAAAAAAAATGGAATGAATGGATATTAATATATGATTTTGTGTAAAATCCCGAAAATACTTCTTTTAGGAATATCTTTGAACGGATAAAATAACATAAATATATATTTTATTGTTTTTTCGGTATTTTATTAAACCTTCCATTATTGTTGTTACTGTTTCGACTCCATATTTCATGGAAGAATGGTTGACAGAGCCTCAAAGAGTTTGGAAATCTTTCTACCCCAAATTTGAAGGAAAGCAAACCGGGGGTGGGAACCGAGGGTTTCCACCCCTCTCCCCTACCACCAAAACACACGAGAAGATGTCTAGCCACATATTTAGAACGTCCCCATGCCGCAAAAGCACTATTACATTTGCAAACAACCATGCGTTCTCCGGCATTCGAGCCCGTGCCGTTCGTTACGGCAGTCAGAATCATGTTCATCATTACAACATAATAACACTAATACCAATAAACGAATGTCATGATCGTACAAAATAACCTGATATACCTGGAGATTACGTAGATTTTAGATTAAGGTTAATTTTTAAGCAGCAAAATAATAAATAAGAAAAATTACTCAATGATAACTTTGGCATCATGATGGTGCAGTGACAAAAACAAGGTTTTTTGTACGCCACCCTGATCTGGATCAGCAGGATTATTAACAATGACAAAAACAAAATAATATCTGTACTGTTTAATATTATCTGAACAAATCACTTAGAAACAAATGAAAAGCAAATGCTTACTTTTCAGCAGTGATGTTTCAAGCTTCAGGGTGTCTTTAAAAATGATGTGGAATCGTGCTTTTTTTAAACACTTCTGAAAGTAGTCTAACTTAACGTCTGCAAGAAGCTGTCTAAGCTCATCCTTTTAAATCTCTTTTGAGGCAGTTTACTGAAAAAAATTGAGGTTTGTTTGTTTGAGTTCCAGATAAAATCTTGCAACTCGAGGAAAATTCTTAATGTGAAAAATTTATCCTCAATTTTTTTCCTTCATTGAATAAGATAATTCTTTAACTTGGGAGTCCGTTTCAAGAACTGAAGATATCACACATGTCAAAAAACAATAGAAATTATCATTTTTTAAATTACAGATGGTTGATGATGATATCCATCTACAGTAACTGTAAATGAAAGCTTTAGTGAAATATATTGGCAGTGGCGTATCCTGAATTTCCACTTACCGCCAGCTTTTCTTAAAAACACTATATTTAAAATATTATATTAATATTCGGAAGGTAACATTATATATACATCAAAATTGGTGATGTTATTAGTCCAAAGGGGCTTTGTCTCTGAAGGACTATATTTTCGTTTTGCGATTTTGCATTGAATCGCTATAAATGTCCGTTTCACTTTTCAAACTGTTGCCACCAAATGTTAGAGTCCTGCATTATATTTGAAGAAATTACATAATGAAAAATCTAGATAAATGTATGTGTATTTCTCGCATTGTGATAAAACAACGGTACATAGAGCCATCGAGTTTTGAATGACGTAATCCTCCTGGCATGGGCATGTGGAAGACCAAATTTGAAATTTGGAATTTGTTTTATTATCGATTTCCTATTTTGTAAAACTTTAACGAATTTTCGAGTAACAAGCTGAAGGATTTCAAAGCGAGTAATGGTAACACTCTACGGGGGGAGGAAATGCTTTTTATCTCCAGCGCGCGGAACTGTGTATCGTAAATTCTAAAGATTGGCTCACTTTAAAATTATTTTGCGACATTGCTTTTGGACTGAATTTTATGGTTTAAGTGCAAAGAACATGATATTTAATAAATACAGGTAACACACAAAACGTTAAGAAAACGCCCCTTTGGACGTAATTTAAAATCTGAAACCTTTCGGATTTTTTTTTCTTTCTTTTTTTCCGTATTAACTTTGTTGAACATTGCATTGCATATAAAATAATAAAATATGCATGACAAAAGTTTGAAATTCACAGTTTTGAGGCCTGAAATTGAAATTTTTATAAAATTTTAAAATGAGTTAAGATCGTTTATATCGTAGTCAGAATTTAACGTTGTTTATTCACAAAGACCGTTTTATAGTTAATGTTCCGGTATAATCAGTCAGTAAATTAAATTATTTACGTATCTTAATGGTGCATAACGCCGTTTCACAGATACAATTGATGCTGATACTGGCAGAAGTAGTAAAGTAAATATTTCACCCAATAATATTATTGACAATTAATTTATAAGATATTTCTCCCACTTTCTTGACATGCCTTCGTGGTGGGATGGTCTGCACGCTGGGCGCGTATTCCAGAGGTCCGCGGCTCGATTCCCGACGAAGGTGTTGCTTCTGATATGGGTTCATTTTCTAGGAAAATGTAAAGAACAAACGATTCAAATACTTGATAGTATAGACTAGTTCTAGGTTTATTTAACAATTTTTTAAAGTCCAATTTCTCTCAATTTTATCAAAAATATTTTTGGAAAACTAGATTTTAAGAAGAATTTAGAAAGCTCATAAATTCATATTTATTATAAGAACCAGATCTCTCTCATTTCTATTTCTATTTCACATGTATTTAAACTTCGCAATACACGTACCTGATTTTCCATTTCAAATGCTCCTTTCCAATACACATTTTCCACTTTCAGGGAAAAAAAATTCTTTTACTGTTGCGTACCAGCTGATTATACTTTTTGATTGAACCAAACTACGAAATCGCTGTTTTGTTTCTATGGTTTTATACAAATGCTTGGATTGCAATTCATATCTTTTTGAATAATAGGAAATATCAGTGGACCATTTTGCTTACATTTGTTGTTGTTATCTCACTTGTCTGACAAAATATCAGAACACGCCTACAAAATTCATCGCGACAACGAGTGCCAGATTGCTCCTATCGTTGGGAAGAGCCTTGAGCATTTTACAGTACTACTTTGCTCAGTTCCACGTCTAATTTTGATGGAGAGTATCCTCGGGGGGAGACGGGTTCGAGGATCACACACCCTTCTTTCCCTGGCACCAATCTCTCGAGAGGACTTACATCTCGCCGCATATTTAGATTGCTAGCATATCGCACGGACACTATACATTTATTCTTTAACATTCACGCCCTCTCCGGAATTAGAGCGCGGACCTTACGGTACGGCAAGTCAGCGTCACTAACCACTATCCCGGTTGGGCGGAACTTACATTTTCTTTTCTCTTACTTAGATTTAGCAATTTTGTGTAAGTTTACCTGCTTGTGGTATGAGCAGGTTCATCAGAATCTCTAATTTGCCGATACTGTTTCGCAAACAAATTTTATACTTTATCAGTCGATCACTCTAAACCATTACAGGTAGTTTTACTTGCTGATTTGAATGAAGATCTCTTCTAGAACGCGCATGCGTAGGAAGCTTTAAGCTTATTCTAATATAACAGAGCGCTTTTTCGTGTTCAAAAATAGATACTAATCACACAATGAAAATGCTAAATCACAGTGAAAATCCTGTCATTATCAAACAATTGAAAAAAAAAAAAACAAAGCAGAAACCTTTCTAACATTATGAACTGCTAAACGGTTTTATTGTTTTCGCATTATATAATCTGAGAATGGAATTATGTAGTCTGATCATATTTTTATGTTTACTTCATATGTCCGTTAAAGAATAGCCAGGTATACCATTTAAATTTTTTCCCCACAGAAATTTGAAAAGTTCAATTTTACTGAAATTATGTCCCTTAAAAGTCTTTCAGTTTTATTTTCAGTCACGCTTTACATTTTCAGAAAATATACTTACTCCTACAAATAGAATACTCTGTCATATGAAACTTTGAAAAATGTTCATATATAAAGATTAATCACCTTATAAGGTATTTCTCTTGCCTTCTTAGCATGCCTTCGTGGTGTGGTGGTCTGCACGCTGGACCCGTATTCCAGAGGTCCGTGGTTCGATTCCCAGCGAAGGCGTTGCTCATTTTTCACTTCTTCTGCTTCCAAAAAATACCTAATGCCTCTACAACTTTCAAGTTAAATATATAGCACAATATAAGCCTCAATGCTGAAAATTCGCCTCTAGCATATAAAGATAAAACAATAAATTCCGCTAAATTGATTGCTAAGCTGTAATGCTATAGCATGCAGTTCGCCTACTCTCGCATATTGAGAGGGAAGGAGAAAAAGGAAGTCCTTTTCTGCCCATCTTTCGTCTACTGAATGCGGTACGTTCTTTAGTATGCAAAATCTGTTTGTCAATAGATAGGACAAAGCCGGGCCATCAGTGGTCGAGCTGTGAAAGACGCTACACATTGGCAATTCTGTCCGGGGTTCGAGTCCCGGCGGAATATATTGTCTGCATGGGCGTGTTCATGGTTTTTCCTATGTGTAACATGGATACGAGCCAGTTCCTCTTAAAAAATTATAAGGTATTTCTCCCGCCTTCTTAGCGTGCCATCGTGGTGTCAAGGTCTGCACACAAGGCGCGTATTCCAGAGGTTCGTGGTTCGATTCCCGGCGAGGGCGTTGCTCATTTTTCATCTTGCCTGCTTCCAAAAAATACCAAATGTCTCTACAAAGTCCTCCACGGGGCACCCTCCTTTTCCGTATAGTACCTAGTGACGGAGCATGTAAAAAGTAAAAAAAATGAATAGGACATGGCAGTGGGAATTATGCTGGGAGAAATGGGACATGGTAGCTCGCAATTCCTTTCATTTTAAATTTCTGATTTAGTATATACGCAGTATTGCTGACACGTTCACATTTTCTCACATTCCTTCACATCATACATTCGCTCCGCGTTACGAAAATTGTCCTTCTGTTTTGTACCATTTCTTTCAACGAAAGAAAATTGGACGGGAGATGATGAAATTTAATGAAATTAATTAAATGAAGATGGTAAAACTTTTATTAATTATATGCAATATGTTGCAGATTCAACTATCTGATGCGTCTGCAATGGATATCTTCTTTTTCAGAGAAGGTTCAACAAATCGGGATAAAAAGAAAAATCCATAAATTAATCAATCACTCGAAGAACACAAGTCTAATTTTCAGTTGTTTCCATGACATATCTACATGATTTATTTCCGAAAGTAATGCGTTTCATAACGTTTTTATAATCTTTTTAGAAAACATTCAACTTTTAGATGGGGCAACAGAGAAATCTTTCGCAGAGTAATTCTTCAAGTTTTACTCTTTTATTTGCCTAAATATCTTATGACTATCACACACAACACACTAGATATCTTATGACTATCACACACAAAATCCATGAATGATTTTCAGAATGAATAAATGAATTCAGCTAGAATTAGTTTAAATATTTTTAATTCAGTTTTCATTAAATTTAAAAACATGATCATAAGGAAGTGTAATATTTATATTATCAATCATTAAACAAATTTCTTAAAATGCTTAGAAGTTAGTTTTTAATTTTGCAAAATAAATTTTTATTTAAAACAGGTTTAATCAGATCACAAACTTAGTTCTTATTATGTCTGTTTTTTATATCTATTTTGAACTATAAATCTGAGTTTATAAACTGTCATACGCATATAAATTATACTGACGTTCCTTTGCCATTCACTGCGTAACATCTCATAAGTTACATAAAAATTACAAGCATATTTTAATAATAATATATAAGTTAATGGTGTTCATATGTAAGAAACCCGATGAAAAATTCCCAGGAAGATATAATGGCTCGTATGGCAAAGATACTCCTACCTTCTTTGGCTAGTGATAATTTTACTTACATTATGTGACTAATACACACTTAAAATGCAAGAAACAGCCCAACAGGATAGTCTACTGACTATCCCGTTGACTATTCTTTTTCTGATTGCCGTAGTGAAGGTCAGGGTTCGAATCCCAAAGAAGGTGTGGATGTTGTAGATATGAAGTGCCTTTATGGCACGAGCACTCTGAATATA